CAATAAAGACGACTGCGTTGCTCTCGAATGGGCTGATTAGACTGACACTCACTTTTGCCGGACAGCATAAATTGACTCTCGAGGAAAGCCATGTGATCAACTGGGGGAAGCTTGAGCCTGGGAAACCGCATCAGCATTAACCTCCTTGGGGAATGGAGAGTGGTTATTGGTAGGATTGGAATTGGAATGCGTGAGTGGTACGCGCCACTGAGGTTTTAGCCTATGGAAACGGCCGGGGTGTGTTTCCTCTAAGAATCTACAAAATGTTCTATGGCAGAGATAGGTATATTTTACCTACCCGATAACTACCATACCTTGCTACGGTTGGGGTTCTACAATCTTGGTTTGTTGCTTATAGAATCATGACTATCTTCAACAAGCCGTCAAATGTTTCGAGCTGCTGAATACATTCCCAGCTAATTATTATTTGATCTGCGGCACAAGCTTCAGTACGTTAAACCAATATTATGTTGGCCAATCACAATGATCAGTAGCCCTACCTCTCGCATTACCCAGAATAAATCCACAAATGGGAATTCTCCAAGATAAGCGACAACATGCGTATGATCCGTGAGAAATGTTTGGACCTTTTGCGGAATGCGGAAGAAATAACGCATGGCCAGCGATTCCTTTTGCCTGTATGACCCTGTACAGGTAGTATGAAAGAGTGCCGGCTACAAAATATCGGGTCCGAGCTAGGCGTGGGGGTCGTGGGGGGCTGGGCCAGTGAGGCGAACATCCACTCTGCCCAAAACTTTCCCCAGCTTTCCCCCGCCAAATAATTCATTCCCCGCATGCGCCGACGCTTCCAAGCGAGTCTGGCTGCAGAATACGTTCTGTCGGCATTTAACCGAAAGCTAGTTTTAGCTTGGAGATTTTCCACCACTAAACTCCGTACGAGAGTCCGCCCAGTCCGCGCCCAACTCGGTGGTCAATGCACCAAGGATCCGCTCTTTCTCCCAAGCTAAGGCAAGTGGTTCTTCCTTTACCCGGGGATAAATTAAAGGATGTTATGCTATCTTATGCTAAATGATTTTCGCTGTCGTTTTATTGTCCGTAATGAAGAAAACGCATTTTCGAGAAATTCCGAAGAGTTGTAAAGACTTATATGGAATCCACTTCCACCGACTTATCATTGAAGAAATTGCATGAAAATCCCCTGACCTAAAATTCCGTTCCTAAAAATCGGCCACAATGATGCTCTCTATCATTGACAAACTTTTTCTCCTCAATGCGCTGGTTGCTCGAGCTACAGCAGCTTCCGCACCATCGTCTCCTGTGTCTGTCTCCGTCAATCCACGCATCCAATTCCAAGAGGTCGACGGATTTGGTGCCTCTCAGGCCTTTCAGCGTGCTGAAGATATTTTTGGCAAGTATGGCCTGCCCACCGTTAACCAGACCCTCGTTCTCAACCTTCTCTACGACGAAGATGTCGGTGCGGGCTTCACCATCTTGCGCAACGGTATCGGCTCTAGCAACAGTTCTGAGAGCAACTTCATGAACTCCATTGAGCCTACCAATCCCGGTGGTCCCAATGCAAAGCCTCATTATACCTGGGATCACTACAACAGTGGTCAATTCCCGCTTGCCCAGCAAGCCTACAAACGTGGTCTCCAGACCCTCTACGCCGATGCTTGGTCTGCCCCGGGTTACATGAAAACCAACGATGACGAGAACAATGGCGGTTATCTCTGCGGCGTGGCCAATGAACATTGTGCTAGTGGCAACTGGATGCAGGCGTATGCCGATTATCTCGTTCAGTATGCACGCTTCTACCAGGAGTCTGGTGTCCGCGTCACTCATCTTGGATTTTTGAACGAGCCCCAGTTTGTGGCGACCTACGCGGGCATGCTTTCCAATGGCACCCAGGCCGCGGATTTTATCCGCGTGTTAGCGAAGACTATAAAGAAGTCTGGTCTCGACCTCAAAATCAATTGCTGTGACGGCATCGGCTGGGACGACCAAGAAGCTATGCTGTCCGGTCTTCAGGCTGGTCCGGACCCAGCTATTAACTACATCGACGCGGTGACTGGACATGGATATAATTCTGCTCCTACCTATCCCCTCAGCACCAACAAGAAAACCTGGTTGACCGAGTGGGCGGATCTGAGCGGCGGCTACACGCCCTTCACTTTCTACGAGAATGGTGGCCCCGGGGAGGGCATGACCTGGGCTAATCACATTCAAGTGTCCATGAGAGATGCTGGAACCAGTGCATTCCTGTATTGGATTGGTGCCGAAAACTCGACCTCGAACAGTGCTCTAATCAATCTCATCAACAATGAGGTTCAACCCTCAAAGCGGTTCTGGGCTTTCGCGCAGTTCAGCAAGTTTGTGCGCCCGGGCGCTCGTCGGATTGATGCTTCTAGCTCAAATGCCAATGTGACTGTCAGCTCGTTCAAGAATCGCAATGGGGCCATTGCAACCCAGCTGCTGAACCAGGGCGACGCGGATGTTAAGGTCAACGTACGGATTGATGGCCTGAATTCGGGCGTGCCTGTGCAGCCTTTCATTACCAACAACGAGTATGACTTGGAGCATTTGGCCCCTATCAGATTAGCAAGAGATGGCTCCTTCAATGCTCAGATTCCCGCTTGGTCGATGGTTAGCTTTGTGGCTGTGTGATTAATAGGCGTTCAATGTTGGTGTCTTGTCTACGAGATAGTGTATATACTATGTCTTACCTTCTACCGGTAAAGTTTTAGCTCTAACAGCTCAATCTGTATATATTGTGACCATTATGGTGGAAAGCAGTACATTCTGTGTCGTTAATTGAATTTAGCGAAATTGAAACTTCCGAAAATATGCAAGGGAAACGCATCGGCCAACGCCTTGAAGGCCTTGGCATTTGGATGCAAACGATCCCCCGAATCAAACTCCTTTGCCAACACAGAAGTGTCATCCTTGTCTCTCAAAATTTTGTCAAAATCAACTATCGCATCAAACACTTCAGTCCTGCGTATCCACTCATTAATCCTCTGTCTCGTCACCTCCCGAAGCGGATGCGAATATGGTGAAAACCCCTCCGCATCTGCATCAATCACGATCTCACCCTTTCTCCGCCCGAAGGGTGTAATAGTCGCAGCAAAGATTGGAATTCCACGTGCATGTACTCTCGTCGCAATTTGTGTATACGCGGCAATCAATCTGTCCCCAATGATCCTTTGGCTTTCCTCATTGGCTTCGGCGACGCCAATATCATTCACCCCCTCGAAAATGAGAACGTACTGTACACCTGAGTGCGAGATAATATCACGGTCGAGACGGCTGAGAACATTGGGGCCGAGCCCATCTGCTAGGATTCGGTTTCCACCGGCTGCTTGGTTCAGAATGGAGATTGAGCTAGTGATTGGATTTGACTGGAGGCGTGGAAAAAGTAGGTCAGGCCAACTAAAGATGTATTTAATGAGTTCTGGTATTTATTACCCGGGAATCGTATGTTTGTAGGACAAAGACTTACCGGTTGTTGCCATTAGTCGTACTGTGCATACCATCCGTTATACTGTCTCCTATTATGGCTAATGCACACGATTCGCGATCAGCCAGGACTTCCACTCCACTGATATAATACCTAACCCACTCAGTAAGCAGTAGCTCGCATAGACATGAAGAACAATGGAACCTACCAATGCTCAACTTCCTCAACAGAAGGATCCGTCAGCGTTCTCTCAGGCACCTGATTCCCGAACGCACAAAAAGAAGTCGTCCGACTGCCCGGGTGTAGAGTAATTCCGTCTTCACCATCATGACCACCCTCTAGAAACAAACTGACGCTGAGAACAGTATGGGCCGGCAGCGGAACCCCAAAATCGATCGGATCGGAAACTGCTTGCGCGCTGACCGGAATCGTTGTTTTTTCCAGACCACCATCGAAAGTGACTTTCTGCAATGTATCGGAGTCGATGTCACTAGTTCCTGAAGAATTGTTGCTTGCCAGAGCGATGGCCGTTTGGGTGATTGTTAGATCATTTGTGCCGAACGCGTTGGAGAAACGCAGACGTAGGTATCTTTCTGTGCCAAGTGTGATCTTGAGGGTTTGACGAAGTGTTGTATTGGGAAAAATTATTCCATCTTGAATCTTGGTGGTTTAGAATAGTGAGTCAACCAGCTCGTAAATAACTCCAAAACACTTACGAATGCTTTTGGGGGGAGGTTGTCTGGCTCGGCACGCATGGGCATTGCGGTCCATGTATGGACCCAGTGCGGAAATTGATCCATTTTTGTGAATTGTAATTTTTGGAGTGGTTTATTCTCAATTTGAGGCTTGCCAACGATTGATTTATAGGCAGTCAGCAGCTATTCACGGGTAATCCGGTTGAATGTAAACCGGATAATTGGCTAGCGTTGTCTTCGGGCCTGCTTCCCGGCGCTGACAGGCTGGCGAGTGCTGTCGACCACGCCTTCAGATTCACAGGAACTTAATCCAAAAACAAACTCGAGATATATAAAACCCAAATGATTCCAATGAGCTCGTCTTTTTGTGTTCGTTGAACTTATCCACAAAAAGCCTCAAGGCCTGTCTCAAAATATATACACAGTAAGTGGTAGATAGTTCTACATAGCACCATCACATACCATTACAATTTCCTTTTTTTTTTCTTTCCTACTATCTATATTTAAGAACAATACCGTCCTGCAAAATGAATCCAACAGGTTTAAGCGGCCATTGGGTCGTGGAAATCGGTCAAGCAGGATCTCAAGGGTAGTAGCCTCTGACGTTCTCCAGCAATCGACAGGCGAAGTACTTTACCACACAAAACTCCTGACAAAAAGACGGGTGACCAGCATAAATCGCTATATCAATAGTACTGCTGGAACCAAGTAGCTATAGGCAAGTCACATGTGGAGAAAGTAGTTGGGTAATATTCTCGGGCCGTGTGCGGCGAGTGACTCTCATCCCCGCCGCCTGCCGGCCCGTTGCCGGCCTCGCTCGCACTGTGCATTTAAGACGGCCGACTTTAATAAGCTCGACAATCATTCTTGCTAAACCGTATAACATAATGGCCTCTCCATTAAATCAATCTTCAAATGGCGAAGGTGCGACAAAGCAACTATGTTCCTGGATCAGTCGTCTATCACTCGATGATATCCCCGAGCAAGTGAAAACGCGGGCCAAATACTTGATATTAGATGGGCTCTGCTGCGCGCTCGTCGGTGCTCACCTTCCGTGGGTCGAGAAAGCCACAAAAGCTGTATTCGCAATAGAGCCAGCTGGTGATTGTCTTGTGTGGGGGCATGACAAGGTAGCCCAGCGAGAAAATGGTTCGGCTCAAATGAACCTAGTTAACATCGTTCACAGAAAGTGGGAGCTTTGCCAGCAGCTCTTCTAAACAGTGCCGAAATTCAATCCTTTGAGCTGGACGACTGGCATGCACTCGCGCCCCTCCATTCCAATTCCATTCTGCTACCTGCAATATTCGCAGCTGCGAGACAGAAAAAAGCCAATGGCTCGGCCACATTCAACGGTAAATCTTTCTTACTTGCGACCATCACCGGTTATGAGATAGGGCCTCGCGTCGGTCTGTGCCTGTATGGAAGCCACATGCTCACAAGAGGCTGGCACTCGGGCACCACATTCGGACACGCTGCTTCCGCGGGCGCAGTCAGTAAATTACTCGAGCTTGAACAAGATTCCATCGAGGATGCGCTCGGTATCGCCTGCACACAAGCTTGTGGCCTGATGGCAGCTCAGTTCGGGAGTGACGTGAAGCGCATGCAACATGGATTTGCTGCCCGCAATGGACTCTTTGCCGCTCTGCTGGCAGAGGGAGGGTATACAGGCATCAAGGATGTGTTCGAAGCGCCATATGGCGGATACTTGGCAGTATTTGGGCAGGGTTCTGGCAAGGAACCTCCATATCTGGTCGACGAATTGACCAAGGGGCTCGGCCAAATATGGCAGTCGGAATATATCCGAGTCAAGTCTCATGCTTCCATGGCGGGAACGCATTGCACCATTGACACAATTGAAGCGCTACAAAAGCAGCACGGAGACAAACTGTCTGACCTCAAAAACATTACACGCATCGAGATCGAGATGTCTGAGGCGGCTTTCAAGCACGGAGGATGGAAGGCTCGCCGGCCTCTTACGGCGCTTGGCGCGCAGATGAGTTGTCCATACGTCGCAGCTGTCCAACTTGTGGATGGGCAGGTCACACCACAAGAATTTCACCACGGTCTGCTGGATCGAGACATTATCTGGGAATTAGTTTATAAAACAGAGTGCTTCCATAGCCCCCAGCTGGGCGAGAGATATGAGCAACGCGTCACCATCACGGTTGCAAATGGCGACTCCATCAGTGAAACTTTGAGTGCTCCCAGAGATGTGGATCCTGGTCTGTCAAATGAGGAAATCTTGGACAAATTCAGGCGGTTCACCTCGGAGGTCATCGACGATCAGAGAAGGGACATGATCCAGAAGCTGGTGTTGGGCTTGGAAGACATCAACGATATCTGTGCATTGGAAGATCTGCTTGCTGGCCCCACGTTGAACCCCATCGCGTAAATATTAGGATTAAGTTGTCGGTAGCAAAACAAAACAATTGAGCGTCCAACCATTTCAGCCTCAGGCAGAAACACCGCCACGTGATGCTTTCCGTGCCTCTTACATAGTCTCGGCCAATCCAATCCATGCTCCGTCAACACACGCTCACCACCGCGTCTCGGTGCACACACGGATTTCTCTCGGTGCTTAGAATGTCTTGACACTCTCCTGGGTTCTTTACTTGGTCACTCATTTCCCCGGATCATGATCGTGGCCGAAGCGGGGCATTTTTATCGATCGGCGACAAACACACGTCGCAGGCTGTCTTCGAGACCAACACAAGGCAAGTTGGCATAAGCTGCCTTTTTCATATGCACCGCAAATCTGTCACTCTCACTGGGAGCTGACTGTTTTTCTAGAGGCCAGGAGAATCAGCCCAGTACACTGATCGCTTCTGGTATCAAAAATGGAGAACCCAGCTTCTCTGGTCTCTATCCAGAAAAACGTCTGGGATGGGCGAGTACCACTAGAGATTGTTCTTGCTCCTTCAGAAAGTCGCACATTTGACCAAACAGACCCGTATCTCGTATGTTTATGCATTCACTGTTCCGTGCAGAGTGGCCCTAATTACCCGCCAGATATCTTATCCTCGAGTGTCTTATCTACCGTCCTTACTGCCCAAACTCCGGGCTTTCTTCTCCTCCTCATTGATTGAACCTCACTCTCAGCCTCATGATGGTTGGTTTGCTTTCGAGGACGTGCCACTCAAATGGCACTACCCCGTTGGTCTTTTATTTGATCTCTATGCTGGAGTAGAGCCTGCCACCAGGACCAGCTCAAGAGACGAAGACTCTCCAGAAAGCGGGTCTTCACTACCCTGGCGTTTGACAGTGCATTTTAGCGACTGGCCTGATGACGATCTTGTTCGACTTGATGCCGATGGTATGGTTATGAACGATGCCTTCATCAACAGTGTCAAGGAGGCCGACTTTCTTCGGAATGGTACGGCGAAGGGGATCATGAGTCTCTCTAAGGAAGACTCATCTGGTCTGTGGAAGGCTGTTGAAGAAGGTGAGACATTGAGTTGCGGCCCATGTGCTTCCTGTGCCTGACATTGCTGAATGCAGTGAATCTCTCCTCATTTCAACGAATCTCCAACACCCTCCTGCCACCACCATCACAGCCGTTCCGCAACGTACCAATCCGAATTTTCCTGCCGCTACCACCGGATGCCGAGACTGGATCTCTGAAAGTGGTACAATCTCCGCTTCCCCCTTCAATACCTGCCTCAAGCATTCAGTCCAGTCAGTCAATAAGTTCTCGCAGTAGTTCAGGCATGCAACCTCAGACGGTCGGCACCGTCTTACACACGCTGCTCCCGAATCTTTTTCCAAGTCGAAGAACTCCGGTTCTGGCGAAGCCGGTCCTGCATGGCGCAGTTCTTCCCATGTCTGCGCCCATTGAGGAGGTGGTGAGGAGCTCCGCTTATGGGGATGGATGGGCCTATCTTGTTGTCCGCATGATGGGATGAGCTCAGCTCAGTAGAAACCAGACCTATCTACTTTAACCAGTTCCAAAGAGAGCCTTTACAATGCAAAAAGATTCGAACATTAACGCTGCGGCGGCAAGGGTGCGGTTGTTGGCACCCATGCGATTGATGATCACTTCTGCCTGTAACATCAAAACAAAAGAACCAATAAGTACATATGTATATAATGGGACGATATATTGAGTGAAAAAAAGTCAATACTATACAACTCAACAAGCCTTTTCTCCCTCAACTGCATCGTCATAGATAATTTCTGCTCCCAAAAGCCCCATTGATCCAGCTACACGGTCAAGCCAGGTAAAGGCGCGCGGATCATTCCTCTTCATGTCCCCGCTAAGCTCACAGATGAAACGAAAATCAAGAAGCGGACCTCTACCATCACTTGTATCGGAGTTTGGTGAGGTTGATAAGACCGATGGCGCCCCATGACCAGAAATTACGGGTTCTGCCCTGCCATAAGCAGGTGTAGTTAACCTGATGCATAGCTGTTCGAGGATGCTGTGAGTCTTGACAGCGGCATCGAGAAGAAGTGACGGACTCGTTTCGGGAAAAGCGTTAGGCTCTGGCCCGACAAAAACACCGAAAATCCCTTCTTTCCGTTGGTTGTTGGATGCAAGCAGTGATCGCAACTCATCATTCAACTTCCGGAGTCGGTCACTGGTCATACGAATACGCTGTGCTAAAAGCGTAGCCTCGCTAGAAGGTACGGAAACGATTTCTCGTGCCTCTTTGATGTATCCGGGACATTTGACCAGTTCCATGAAAATTGTTTCGTAGACATCAATGTAGAACGACCACTCACTCTGCTTCTGAGAGTCTTCCACTCGGAGGATGGCTGCCAAGTTTTGCCAACTATCTTCGTCTAGGAAGCATGGCTCACCTTCGTAGAGCGCGGCAGCGATGAGGAATGGTCTGTATGCGAAGTGGCAGACGCGTCCAGCTCCAAACAAATGGAAACCCATACCACGCTTCAGCATTAGTTGCTTTACCGCCCTCGAATGATAGACCCACGCGTCTCGTGTAGTCCTTGTATTCATCTCATAGAAAGAGAGAAGAATAACTGCAATAAGCAGGGCATCTGACGAAGTATCATCCGAGCTCAGTGCATGTCTGATCGCCCCCAAGGCCTGCGAATACTTCTGTCGGCCCCATTGGTGGAGTCCCGGGTCCTTGGTGAGATGGGCGAGATATTCTGTTGAAAGACAAGAGACTGTTGTATCGTAATAATGGTTGGAGCCGAAATATTTTGCGACCCAGTCGGGAAATGTAAAGCCGTTTCCGAATCGGAATTCGTTATGGAAGAACATGGTGGGGAAGGCAGTGCAGATAAACTCTTTAAGCATCCCTGGCTGCTGGCTGATGAACGATCGATGAACCAAAGCTGGATAAACACGTTCGTCGATCGAAGTTTTCGTAGCGATGAATTTTCGCATAGATCCATGGCTGTGGAAAGCTTCGGGGTTGGTCTTACCACAACCACTGACACCTTGAGACTGCTTTTGATACCGCTTCTGGAGACGGGGCCCTTCGTCCTGGAATTGCCAAGGGCGCTTGTATCCAGGGCATACAACGGCGTACCTACGACATTGCATACACTGCGGACGAGACTGGTCACACTAATCCAGAGTGAGCTTCGTGTCGGTTTATGAGGGAAAGAGATAACCGACCCTGATGCGTCGCTCGAGACAGAGCAAACAGCCTTTGCTATAAGGAACTCCAACCATTATAACGGATAATCAATGATATTCAACAGCCTTCCATCCTCCTGTGCCTGCCGGGGCCCATCTCCGAGTGAGGAGTGATTGATGTCGGGCTGAGCGGAGATGCGGAGCATGACTCCTGGCTCACCGCTTGCATCGTTTCCGCTCCTCGCTTATTCTGCCCCCATTCGTCGGTTAGTTAGTTCCAGCAGAGCGACACGATCACTACGCAAGATTTCATTATTCTATCTTCTTGAAATTAATCCTTTAGAAATTTTTCTAAAATATCCTCAATGCAGGTTCAAAAATTATGGATTTATCTCAATACTTAAACTAAACTAACTCTCTGAGTCAAGACTGGGTATCGGGTGATGTTGGTCGTCCTGCGACAACGTCTTAAATATGTGCACGCTCATTGACAAAGGGAATGTGTATCCAAGAATGTTGTGACAGTAGAGAAAGCCAATTTAACAATAAAAAACGGAAAAAAGATGACCGATTGAACAGGCAGGTAGGATCAAACAAAATGTTCATATGTATACACAGAGTTTTGGTGGGAACTTGATCGGGTCCAGAATATGTTTAGATGACATTCCCATTGACGAGAATATTGTCACCAGATTCTTTCCCTTTCTTGAGAGCCTTAGCAAGCATAAGCTCGCGCATCCAGTCAATGCGTTGTTCGCGAGACTTGACAGCAAAGTGATGGTTCTTTATATTGCCATTTCCAAACAGTGCCTTTTTCTCGTTCTCCTTGGTAGCAGGAATAAGAGAAAAGGCAAAGGCTGCGTCGCTGCGACCGGCAGCTAGGTTGTTGCCACTTCGCAGGATCGAGCGCTTGAAGGCTGCCGTGAGTTTGGAGCTAGTCGCCAAAGACGAGCAAGCGACGGCGTAGTCGTCAACATCAATTATGTCCAGCGCACGAGAGTTGCGGCGGGCAGCAATTTCATCTTTGTGCATAGCCAGGTTCGTACCGCGCAGAGTGAAGTGTGCATCCTGCCACTCGTGGCGGAGGAGACGAGTCGTCTTGCGCTTCTTCATCCAGCCACTGTGAGTGACATCGGGATCGGAGCTCAAAGAAGACTTGGAAGAGTTACCATGTTGGTTCATGCGCGGGCTGCGAATCAAATCTGCGGGACCTTCAATAGGCGTCAACGGCTTGTCCTCTTGCACCCGACGGAGAGAGGTGGTTGCTCGAGGGCGAACAGAGGCGCTGCGTGGCACCGGTTCCTGGGGATGTCTGAATAGATTCCCGTAATGCATGTCTGGAGGTACCGATTGAGAGATTTCGCGAGGAATAGGACCATTCGGAATGGCTGTCACCGGGACATCCATCTCCGAGAAGGGAGTCCCTTGACGGTAGTAGTCAATATTCCTCGCGTGACTGAAAGGACCATATTGCTGCACAGCAGTAGGAGAACCATAGAGCTGAGAAGCTCTAGTCGGGGTGAGAGAGCGGTTTGTACTGACGGCAGTTGTCATGTCCTCCGTATCCGGGCTACTCGGGATTGTCAACTTGGGGAGGTTGCGAAGATTCGCAACAACATGTTTTTGCTGTGCACTCGGCGGCGTCAGTCCCGCAAACGGCCCGGCAGGAGGCACTTCAGTGTCAAGCTGAAGGCCAGAACGCACTGATGAGCCGCTAACGTGCTGGTTCTTCAAGAAACTCCGGATTGTTTCCTGCGGATCCAGCTTTTGCACTTCCTGAAGGGCCGCTTCTGAGAGCCTTGGTCCCTGACCCGGGCCAAGAATGTCCGAAGATGCCACGACTGAAGGCTCAGCTTCCGACTTTGGACGTAACAAGTTACGTGCAGTTTCGGGGTTTCCAGGGCTACCAGTTATTATGGCACCCTCTTTGAAGATTGCATCGGGGAATTCTGCAGCGAGTTTTTCAAGCTGGCGCTGGCGCCGCTTGTACTTGGCGCAGTCTTCGCCCTTGGAGCAATTGTGAGGCCTGGGAAGAAGCTGCTCAATACCGACGATTGACACAGACTCCGCCGGGGTGATTTGATTACCCGCTTGGCCGTAGACGCGGGGGGCTAGAACCTCGCCCGTTGGGGACACAGACATCGTATAAGAGCGTCGATTAGGGGACGCTTGTCCAGAAGAAGAACTTTCCCTAGAGTCATGCGCAGGCTGCGATCCCGCATTTTCTTGCGTCATCATGGTGTTCTTGAGATGCTCGATGGAAGCCAAGAGCTGATGACGAATGCCAAAAGAAAGGATGTTCAGTTCCTTAAGGTCGTCAATTTGCAAGGTAAGGAGTACAGCGCCAGAGATATCATTAATGATGAATTTTTCAATAACAGCATCGTTGTAGCCAGCGATGAATAGCCAGTGCGCAACCTGGCTGGGCTTCCAATTACGGATTTCACCCTCTTCGACCTGTGACACATCGGGTTGAAGCGTTGTCAAGGCCTTCGGGGTTCGAGGTGAGAAGGGAAAACGCTGAATCGGATTTGGGCTGTCGATCGACTGAGAAAAGGCAGATTGCAGTGGTGACCGCTCAAAGTAGAGGTCGATCTCAGCCGTTGACGGCTCATAAATTGATGAGCCCCTTGAATTTCTAAAAAGGTGAGGACCAGAAGGTCCTTGAACAGTTCCCTTCTCAAACTTGATGCTAGTGTTGTTTCGTAGAACCTCGTCTGGGGATGGCAAATCCGGTGTAGAAAGAGTAGTGTGACTATCATAGCCAAGCTGAAAAACTGTCAGACCATTGTTCAAATTTCGGGGGATTCATAGAGCTCTTACTGATTGGAGGCTCTGTTGCAAGGATTCCTCATCAGAATCGCCGGTTTCAAAATCCGTGTCATAAAAGTCGGTGGTATCCGAAAGGCGCCTGCGCATAATCGTCCTGGCGGGGTAGAACCGCTCGTGGTTCTTCATACTGATCGAGGTAGGCACTGCCTTACGTCGATGGCGTAAGGACTCCTGTATCTGGTTAGAAAGACGCTTTGACTTGCCAGGTTAAGACCTACCATTGTGTGGAATGTGCTTCGGTCCCCGGACTTCGTGGGTGATTATCGACCTGCGTCAGAAGCCCAGGCTGTGAAACCGATCACGAGTAAATAATAGCAAGGACGATCAACGTTGATTCTAAATGGTCCGATTGGGATATCGTTGTATATGAATGGGCTCGGCGAGAGCGAGTATCTAGTTCACCAAGAAGGATGGAAAAATTGAACTGCTGCGTGGGGATTATGGGCAGTGCGAGTATATGTACTGTGTATCCACAGTTTGTTTAGTACTGGAAAACGGCGCGTAAGATGAAACACGTTGCGTTGGGACGGCGGCAGTGTCTGCCAGAATCTGGCCAACCCGAACGATTCGGTTAGACAAAAATGTCCGTGGCATGCAGGAGCAGTGAAACGCAGCGGCACAATGTCCAGAGTGGACAAAAGAGAACATACACGAATGGCTACGAGGCGGGAAGAGCACTGGGCGAGATGTGACGATAAGTGATCAGCCTGCAGTAGACTAGGCCACGGGGCGGCGATCTTGCGTCGCTGTCAGCCAATAAGGATGTATACCCACCATATTCGAGGCACCCGACGGCCTCTTGGAGGTCCGAGGGAAACACTTGACCTCAAGTGAGCGCTTGCAGGAATTTGTTCGACGGTCGAGCCCAAATGTGACTGGCCTGCTTTGGGGTGAAGAAGCCTGCAGCTGGCGCCCAGGAGACCCACTAGAGTGTGACGACCAGACATTAACTCTTAATTAGCGCCCGAAATTCCTGCGATGATCCAGCAAACATTTTCCTAATTTAGTTCGCTATCTCGAGCCATGCTCCTCGCTTCTCTCCAATTTTTGGGGGTTGGACTGCCCAGTGAGCTGGGTTTCATCACCAGCACTTAACTAAAAGCCTTGGGTCTGTCCCTGTCTGTCCCTGTCTCCAGCCATTCGGTTTTATTTGGGAAGACCGGACATGTTATTTCCGCTCTAGAAACGGGACCAATATCCTTATCCTTGTCTACGGCAAGCAATGATGTGATGTGAATCCTGTGGGGCGCAGCCGACTCTCCGACAAATTTACAGCACAATATATTATAGCGTCGCTAAGGATACTTTGTCCTCGTCACCTACCGACTTTTGCGACTGCACAGTCCATTAAATATGCACTTGACAGTCTTCGGCGTTGGATTATAATTTGAGAGACCTATGCAAAGCTTCTGACTTACTGTAACCTCGATATCTTTTTGTCCGTTCCCAACGTTGGAATTCTGCTTCCTGTTTCATTGAAGTAATCCAACCCGAAGCCAGTGGGCTTGCTGTCTAGTGTAACTTTCCTTTGCTGGAGCTTGTCTATGATAACTGGCTTGGTTCCATTTCCACAATACCAGCAATCAGCCTGGGACTTGATTCCAAAGGCAAGAATCGTGGCTTTCCTCCTTTTAATTGACCCAGATGCGGCTTCAATGAAAAACTGCCTATATTGTATCTATCACTTTAAAACAGGTAGATAAGATATTCCCTTTTACGGTACCGTTGGTATCAAGAATCAAGAGGCTTACTGTACCAGGTACTTGTGGATATTCTCTCAACTTTTTCTCATAGTTCTCCATACTATCTGCCCACGGAGAACAGTGTTTGCTTGAAGAGAGGTAATGTTTTAGCAGATTAGGAGCCCCGAGAGTCTACCACATGGAATTTTCTGTCTCACAGTATAAGCCGCGGGCAAAAAGATATACATACATATATTTTTTTCCCAAACAACCATCACAGTTCCTGGGCAATGCAAGGAACAGCATGCCATGAGCCCGCAAGGGCATGTGCCTGAGTTTTAACGACCCAAATAACGCATTCTCAGAGTTTTGATATACGCTGTGGTATCTCCTTCCTCTGTTCGCATGGGAGAATTTCGAGATACCGGAGCACAAGCCCAACGTTAGGCATCCTGGGATCCGACCTGCACCTACGGGTGTGATAATAGGTCGATTTATGTTGCCATGATAAGCCTGAACTGAGTGTCCCACAAATGAGAGCATGTCACATTTATAGGGGTGCATAAGCAGGTTTTCGATATTGTTATTGCAAACCCGCTTCGCTCATTATGTAGTTGGGTTGCACCAGCACCAACCACACGATTAATGCGCACTGATGTGTAGGCACGAAATAGTGACAGTAGTTATATGCGATAGAGACTAAGCCAGGACTGGGCGCCACAGCTTGGAAGCAAGCAAAAAAACCAGTCGTACTGGTGACATGCAGCAACTGCCTCATCTTTTTTGGTTCACGAGCCCCAGTGAAATCCTGCTAAGTGGTTTGCGATACTGACATAATTTGTCCTATTTTAGGAGTTGGCCAAGAATATTATGAACATTTATTAATAGTAAATGTAGCATACAATAATAGCTAATGTCATAGGATGTGTTCTCTCTCTCTAGCCAATAGATGGTAAAGTTGGGGGAACGTATCCCAAAGTAGAAATTAGCAAACAATATCGGATAGAAGGCTGGCGGTTAAATGTTGCTAATTAAGGGACCCCATCCTAAGCCGCTAAAGTCATCCCATCACATCACACCAACCCCGCTGCATTTTGCATAGCGGGTCTGCCTGTCTCCCGTTCTGCAACCACTCAGGGATACCCCGACCCCTAGGCAATTTCCAGATTTCCATCCTTAGGCCAATGGTAGTATCAGTCGTCGAAGCTTGGCAAGCTCCACAACTTCCGTCGCATCAAATCTCAGGCTAGTCGTGCTTTAGCCTGATCGTCCCCGCACGATCTTACGAGTTGACTGGCCTCCTCTTGCTAGGTCATCCGATGTGGCAGAGGTCGTCAAATTTGCGGCATTTCTGAATTTAGTAACTTAAGAGAAGCCTATGCTGATCCCAACCCGACAAGCTGCTAGTATCCTTGTCAGCCAGTGCATGGCAGATCTTTTGGTTGGTTTCGAAAGCAACAGAACCATCCAAGCCACATTACAACAACAGCAGCGGGTCAACAAAAAAATGCGGCGTCGATACAGATTCCAACTGAGCTTGTCGCAATGAATGTTGTTGACAATTTCTACTGCTCCTGAAGTTGGAAGCATCCTGTGACCGATGTCGCACGGGCGGATATCTAGAGGCACGGACCGTGAACCGAAAACCGCTCTGGTCCAATAAAGGGGCGGGGGCTGCTGGATCTTCTGCAAGTATCCCTGCCCTACAGCACAAGGGCCCACTTTGACGGGTCCTTCTCCATCCAGTCCCTCGAGGCCTCGACAACGAGGTGCATGGCGCCAATGCGGCCATGCGGCCTGCAGCACCAAAATTAAATCCAGGCTAATTATCCAAAATTAGCTCTAGGCTAAGAGGTTGCGACATTTGCCAGGTTTTCTGCGTACATGATTCGTCAACGGCTCGTGTTGGGATTTCCAGTATAGGAAGAACCAGGGGTGGGTCTCAAACTTACTGTCAGTGCTTACCCCAATTATTATCCCGATCTTGCATGAGCCTTCTGGTTTACGGCTAGCAGGATATTCCAAAATAGAAACATCGGTGATTCTGGCGCAGAGCTACCACAGGTTTTAAAGCATCAATAGTTCCCAAGCTCAGGTACCTTTAATTTCTGTGCACACTCAGGCAGTTGCATACCTAACATCTTCCTTTCGTTCTATATTTCTTCGGTCGCAAAGTCTGCTGGTTCAGCTTTGCAATTATACATACAGTCTCTTGCCCGTGGCTAGGTCCAGTCTTGATTATCTCTCATCACCTTCGGACGATTGTTTGGTCCCTATCTTCTCCCAGCATGCCAACTTCAAAGAAGGATACCGTCTCTCCTTCAATGAGCAAGAAGGTCAACAAATCGGTTGCTGCATCTCATAAGGCTCCCATTATTCAGGCTTCACACCCCGCTAATGGAGAGAGGGGAAGCGACAGAATGCATAAGCGGTCCCGGCAAGGTATGTCATATCTTTCCAAGTCCTATTTTATTTGCATTGCCGTTGACTTATGTTATCCTAGGTTGCTTCGTCTGTCGCTTGCGTCGAAAGAAATGCGACGAACGCTTCCCTCATTGTGCAACATGCGTAAATCTCGGCCTCAAAGGCGAGTGCGTGTATGTCCGCCCAAAATGGTGGGGAACTCCAGAACTCAGGGCGAGAGAAAAAGAGAAGTGTAAGGGACTGATCCAGGACAAGAAAAATGAGCGGGGTGGGAATTATGCAGGTTCGCTCCCCCTCCCTCTCTGGCTCTGAGGCCATTACGCTCACTAGCCACCCAACACAGGTCAATTGCATCGCAATCCTAAGACATCCGCACCACCGCCTGAATCCCGATATTTTGACTTCAGTCGTCCCACGTTCAATGAGCCTTATGATCTCTTTTCCTCGCATCTGCCCACCCCGGGCCTAGGTCACACTCTCTATGGATCTTACGAGCCACCCTACCAGATTGGCCAGATTGATGTGAAGACCGAACAGCAGACATTCATCAACGATGTGCCTACGCGTCATGATTACTCCACTTCGAGCTTTAGTTCGTTCGTGCCTCCTCAACTCGGCACGCCACTGCCTGCATTTACCGACGAAGAGTGGTCAGGCAGCGAGTACTTGGTCGATCCCTCAAGTACCGATGGAATGAACACAACTGCTCTTGGTCACAGCACAAACCAGACATATCTGTGGCTGCAAAACAATATCCTCGTTGAAGACAACGATCGATCCCTCCTGGACCATTTCATCCACAACGTTTTGCGGCAAATCTTTCCTCTACTGGAAGTACATCAAACCGGGCATCTACGCGCTCAGGCTATCCTTCATGCTATGGAATCAAACAAGTGCTATCTTGAGTGCTGTTTGAGTGTTGCTGCTATTCATCGAAAAACCACTGAGGGATTGAATAGCGAGCAAATTGACCACGATATCATGCGCCACCGTTTTGAAGCCATCAATCATCTGTGTCAAGCCCTGAACGATGATGTGAATCATCAAGAGATTCTCGATGCTACCCTTGCGATGATCTTTTTCAATTCTTCCGTTGGGCCACCTGTTGACCATCTTCCTGATATCTCGTGGTTTGACCACTTCCAGGCAGCAGCCAACCTGGTGAACAGGCTAGGCTTGCCAACACCCGGTCAGACCGATAGCCACACGACGTCCATGTTTAACATGACCTTGACATCCTGGATTGATATTCTTGGCGCAACGATGATGGGCAAATCACCTCAGTTTGCGCACACCTATAATACTAAGCACTTGTCTGGGGAATCATCTGGACTACGCGAATTGATGGGCTGCGATGACAGGGTCATGTATCTCATCTCCGAGATCGCTTGCCTGGACTCCTTGAAGAATGAAGGTCGAGTCGATGATCTGTTGGTTTGCACTCATGTCTCGGCTCTGGGACTCCAGTTGGAGTGCACCGAACCTGCGGATCCGACTTTGGAGAATCCATTTTCCTCTACTACGGGGTCCATCCGCCCGGAGGTATTGACAAAAACGATGTCGCATATCTTCCGCATTGCAGCTCGGATTTACCTGTGCAGTCTGGTTCCAGGTTTTGGTCGCAGTCAACCGAGCAATCAAAATTTGGTTGCAGCAGTCACAGACGCACTACAATTTATCCCCTCTGGTCCTCATGGGTTTGACCGCTCCTTGGTCTGGCCACTTCTTATGACGGGTGTCTTTTCCACACCTTCTAGCACGTTCCGAAGTGTCCTTGCTCAACGCGTTGCAGCCCTAGGCGACCATGCCGACCTCGGCAGCTTTGGACGAATGTACCGTCTACTCCGGGAGCTGTGGCGGCTCCTTGATGATCCACTCGACCCGCAAGCTACCGGAGATGATGCTCACAACTCCTCGCTCACCAGCCCCATTACAAAACTGGAAAGATCTGAGTCACCATCGAGTGCAAGTGCCACTCTGGGTGGAAGGGAGATCAAAAGACAACAAGTTAATTGGCGAGACGTCATGAAGCGGAACAATTGGCATTACCTTCTCATCTGAGCGACGGATATTTTACGAGGATCACTTCTTCTGTTGAAGCTGTTCATCCTGCTAGATTAGCATTATTTACCCTGGCGGTATAAGATACCCCTTCTTCCCAACCAGGTGTTGTGGAATTGGTATCAATATTTAAGACCTGCACCATTCTTGAACTGCAGGACAGGCTGGAGTTTGGTGCTATCACTGGTTGATATTTGTTTAATATAATACATCTTCATGAAGTTCAAAGTCCTCATTTGTTCAAAGCATTGGATGTTCCTGCTATAGCTTGTAGAAACAGCAACTTTCCTACAGTATTGCCCAAGGCATCTCCAGTAAAAGAGGTGTTTACTCTGATGCTGCTAAAAAAAAAAAAAAAAAAAAAAAAAATCAAACTTGACTAGACTCAAATGGTAGAGTCCAGTTCTACTAAGAGCCAAGGCCTGTTCACCAAGCGCTTATCTCCCTAGACAACAGAATGAAAAGCGACATTGATAATGGCGGTGGCGTTGTGCTTTGGCTATTTCTTACCGCGCGTCTCCAGCAAGAACAAATAGATTAAATTAGATGGCCAGGGTCATTAAAAGTACGGTACTCAAATTAGAGAATTGCTAATTTTGGGTTATTTCTCTTCTTACATTGACGCCGAGATGGAACACCTCGCTCTGTTTGCCTAAATAACATAGTTGAACCCCGGCGTCTGCTGAATCAAGGCGCTTTGGGCGTTGTACTTAGAACAACAAAACCGAAGCAGGAACAAGCGAGTTCGATAAATGAAAAGGCCCGATTGGACTTAAAACCAAGCACCCAAGGACCTGCATAAAGAACGTCGATTCCTTATCTAGATGTAGATACAAGTCCTAAAGTCTCTAGTAGGGCAACACAATAAAGGTCATAAGACATCAAAATGTAGATGATTGGATTACAGGGTCTGGGCATATATCTCAAACAAGCTTCGAATTTAATCATCCAGCTCTAAACACAATGGGATTGAGGTATACAAGTTATCCAAGCCTATGAGCTTGACACATTTGACGAATTGCAAAATCCGAATACCCCTGAAGGCGAGGCGCCGGCCAGGTGGCATTCAGTGCGCGCCAACCATCCACGAACCAGGTAGGGATTTGGGAGAAGCATTTCTTGGCAAACAAACCGCCGTCAAGACATGCAATATTTTTCTCCGGCTTAGCAGAGAAAGAGGGTTTGCTTCAGATAGCGCGCGACAACTGCCTCCGTTGTTTCTGGGCGGCATCGCCGAAATGCAGCGGGTTTGATAGATTGAAGGTCGAAACGATGAAGCGCTGAAAAATTATAAAGAGCGCTGCATCCCATAGTCCATGAAGAGAGACACACACGGCTTTTCTTCTACAGAAGAGCTCTCTCTGGACTTTCACTGTGATACTTCTTTCTTCGTTTTGCTTAGCTCAAAGCACCAGACCAGCAACAATTCCTTACATCAAGCTTGGTTCCTACCAAGGCTGTGACTTGTCTCTGACTAAGTTTGCCTCTCCTTGAAGACTTCGGAACAGTAAGTATGGTCTCTCTTTGCTGCACACTGCTCTTGCCGCGGGTGGCAGTCCTCGAAGGATTTGAGGCTGAGCTAGCCGGTAAGCCTCGATCAGCCTTGCTGGTAACTAACAGGAAATATTACAGGGCATTGTATTGATACCGTCCAGAACAACAAAACGGTTACCATACCCTGTCCCGCCCTGTCTGGCCTGGGATATAGATAAAACCGCCGTCTCTCCGCACCCTCGTTCTTCCTTGCTGCCGGCCAACAAAGACCCCCTTTCCTAACGTTTGGATCTCCGCCTCATTGAGACGACCCTATAATTATTTTCTTGTCCTTTTTACTATATACTCTCCTTCATCATTCTTTGGTTCTCCTTCCGTTGTGTTTTCCATCCTCGCTCGCCGCCTTGTGCAGTCATTCTGAATTCATCAGCCTTTTGTCCTGTCACCTGTGTTCTCTATTATACGTCTTTAGCTCCACTCAAGGAATCACCCTCTCAGCCTCTGTCAACACTCGACAACATGCCGAATTCCAAGCCAGTCCTTCATCCTCTCAAAACGCCAAAGAGCGCGACGTTTCCCTCCGATCTCCATATTGAATCACCGTCAAGTCTGTCGGATACTGTCAAACAGGAAGATCTCTCGACACCAATCACGCCCCCTACCGCCTACACAGATTTTCTGAAGGCTCTCACGCCCGTGTTCAGCCCTGCTAGTGCTGGTGCTGGTTTCACTTTCCCGAAATATCCTCTTGACAAGCCGTCGGCTGCTTCCCCCACATCTCAGCCAGCAAGCGCGTTGAGCGGTTCCTTTGTATTCGGTGACTCGGCAAGATCACCGACTATCTCATTGCCACCGCCGACACCGTCGTCAGCAAATTCTACCAAAAGGAGCTTCCCTGTCCCGCGCCGCCTACGCATCCCACAGTCACTGAAATATTCCCCGACTACGGACTCTCCAAAAAGTGCAACTATCCTTCGATCTCCGTTCTCCCCATCAGACTGGAAACTGCGTTACTATGAGCCGCCCCGCAGTGCAACTGGGAAGCCGGTCAGCGTGAAGCAGGTGGTCACTCGAACTGTTACCTACAAATGCACCCCGCTGGAGGCACCACCAAAAGGAAAGCGACGAAAGTGCCGGGAGTCTAAAGAGGCTTAGGTACTTTCTCTCCTCTTATGCCTCTTATTGTGTACGGTTCCATATTTTGGTCATTGCATTTGGCTAGTTCTTGCGGACTATGAGCGGTGGAAATGGAGTTTGGGAGTCTCCTTGGGGCACTGTCGTTCGAAATGGTACGAAATTGTTTGGCCTTTTTATTTTCTTTGTTTCCTATCTTGCTCCTGCCGTATCTTGGCTTCTTTCGTTTGGATAATATACAGCATACTACACTGTGTCAAGTGAATTGGTGAATGATCTATGAATTCATGACTACCTTTTTTTTTTTTGTTGAACATTCTCCCTAAGCGATCGCGCTCAACTTGAGGCCATACATGGGCCATCCAGGACTAGAACCATCATTGGCTTGTTTTCTTTTCAGGCTTCGCATACCGGCGGTATGTATCCCACTGTGTCCTCTGCCTAACCTTTTGGGATCAAGGCGGCGGCTGGGTTAGATGGCGTAACGCGTGGACCCAAGTTATCGGGCTCGGTTAGCGGGTATGTCTGCAGGTAGTTCCATTTCGGGGATTATTGGGCATGCCTATGTAGAACTGTCGAATCGGATTAATGAATAGCTTGAGCCGTACCAGATCTGTGGGTAACAAACCAACACTTCCATTGCTAGGATATCCAACTGACCGCGCCACCCATGGAGAGCCCGCTTGGGCCACGAGGCGTCATGGATCAGAGCCGCCAACAAAGGGCCAGATTTGAGCCCTGAAAACCCAGCACCCTTTGCGCAAATGTATTGGAGCCTTACACTAGCTCCATCCAGGCATTCTCATTTTTGATTCTGACAGATTCCACGTGTCGGACACGTTAGGATCATGGATACAGTCAACAAGGTTCATAACGCGTATAGGGAGATCTAGTAGGGCATATGGCTATTATCCAACATTTTAATCAAATGTCATAATAAATTTGTGAATATAGAGCTCATGTGGTCTGGTTCACTATTGTTACTGCTTTGATTCTACGTGTGTGCGTGGACCCTAAGCCGAACGTCCCTCTGCAACTAAGCCCCTGCGTCCGAGTCATGACAGTGCCACCCAACAGAATGGGCAGTAGAACTCAAAGAAATAATTGGACAGTATATTTAAATTTCAATTGAATTGAAGCGCACAAGAATGCCGCCCCATATAAATGGACCTGCCACGATGTCCTGGTAACCGCAGGGTCCATCGCCCATGTCAGTTTTCGGCATACAATAAGCGAATATGTAAATCACCGTTTCTTCGGACGAACAGTGTATTCCGATCAGTAATAGAATGAGTATGAAGGATGTTTCCTAGTTATATTGATTTTAACAGCACATAGTTCAGTAATATTACTGACTTGGTTTTACGTCGTACTCTGACGAAATCTCTGTAATACATTACCCGAATCCACTACGCTGTCCTACATCGCCATCACATTGTCTACCTAGACCCACGTCGGACATAGTTTAGAATCTCTTTTCGCGCTCATATAAGATATCACATCTTTCCGTTGCAGCTGATGCAAATCAGGAGCATTTCCACTCTTGGTAATTACTCCATATTATGCTCGAAAGAAGGATCGAGAGAATCTGTGATGCATAAGGCCGAAACCCTGATCACGCGCAATGATTGGACGAGGACGCGCCCTCTGTGTTTCATGTCCCTAGTAAATGAGTTCGCCTAGGAAAGAGTCATATTTCCATTCGTCGAAGTGGTCTCCATTCTCTCAATCAGTGTTTCGAGGACGGCTGACAGCTGGAACACACTGAAGACTGTTTTACAACCTGATTTGGTCCACAATGTTGTCAACCATGACCGGACGACCATGTTTGTGAATAAGAGGGAATGACTAGTCGGTATTGGGCCCTCAAGGAAAATACCAGAACATAAACTGATCGTATTGGAATAGAGTTTCCCCATTTTTGAATCAGCCCATCTTCCATCTCGCCTGACCGAGTCCGGTGTTTATATTGGTTATTATCTCCACTAGTTATCACAAGGGACCCAGAACAAAAATAACATACGGCCCGTACCCTCAGTGTGATCACCAATTAGCGCTGCCCCAGTGGTGTGGTCCATGCAGTTAAGCGCCGGCGCTATTCTACTTTCAGACAGTGGGGCAACCGAGCGCCGAAGACTAGCTTCAGGCCGTCGACGCTTGGCGTGATTGGCGGTTGAACGCTTTAACCATGTGAAAAGCAAGGTGACGTGGTCAACAGAATACTAGAATTCATGCTGATTGGTGTTTTCTCGCTTTCGCGCCGAGTCCAGCGTCGTTCGTGATATTAATAGAACGCGTCTCAGGTCTGCGAGCAGCTTCGGAGCAGGGCGGTAACCGATTTAAATGCTTTCCAGGTGTTAAACACGAACGAAAGCATGACTGTTAAATTCAACCATCTAGATTATCTGATTGTTCTCCACAGTCACCCTATAATCCCCCCCCCCCCCCCCCAAAATTACTTCTATGCTCCTTTGAGACATTAGATTACGTTACAAAGACTTTCGGAGACCAAGAATAATCATATGAATGGAAAGAGGGGTATGCATGGCGCTTATGCAGTGTGATATCTCTAGTTTCTATTTATGGTTGTCGTTTGATTTAATCGTAGTGCCTAACCCCGGTCAGTTCCTGCGTTTCTGGGGCATAGTGCTACGATATTTTTGGCAGTTAACGTCAGTCCATAGTTTCAGTTATACCATTATTGATATTAATGTAGACTTGAATTCAAATATCCCAACTTCTCAAGAGAAACATACCAACCCAATTCTGAATATAGCTAAGAACTGCTTTCCGCTTGTCTTTCTTATTCTGACCACCCGCCAAATTCACTGGAGGCCGTCGGAAGCATATGCCTTTTTTCTCATCAATTTTATCTTAACCAAGGCTCAACGCTACCAAAAACAAAAACCTGTCGCCCCTCACAGTCTATCTCAAACCTAAATGGCTGGATTCGGCTCCGCCTCGTCCAAGTGCACATTGTTTTTCCTTGCATCTTGGACATGATGGGCTCTTGACTGGGTCAAGGCGTCAACGGTACGGCTTTCCGTCCCACCATCGCTGCATCTGCTGATTTCCTGGTAGCCAATGTCATAATATTTGTTCCAAGAATAGGTCCCCGTAGCGCCTGGGTCTATTTTTGACTCGGTTTGTTCACAATTGACGTCTGTTATCCCCTCAACTTGGAATCTTGTTGCTATCAATATCCGATAATCACAAACACAGGGCGGCTACTGTCCATATTCTTTACAGACTACCCCACTGATACTATTTTCCTGGCCCCAGACTACCATCCAGCTGACCTTTACTTGCCAATCAAAGCTCAGAATCTTTATTTTCAACGGCAAGGAACATCCCCATCACGCCCCTTGGGAGTAAATATAGAACGGAACTACATTTTCTCTCCCTGACTCATGCAACTCTCTTTTTTTTTTCGCAGCGGGCCCCAGCTTTAACCCCTCTTTGTCGCCCATGTATGAAGCTTGAGAAGCTCGTTACTGGACAGCACTTGCGGCCCCCAGTTCCCAGCGGCATGTCTGCCACTTCGTCACCTCGTTAAACAGCTCCGAGACCCTTTTGGCTGAGATCCTGTACGATACTGTCCCATACTGGCATCTGGTATCATACTGCATTGAATCAAAACACGATTTTGTTACTGTTTCTTGGCTAACATCATTCTTTCGACTGTCGGTATCTTCGGGTGCAAGCCTGTGCTTTTTTTAACTCTGAAGGATCATTCTCAAAGGTGCGACTCCTATCTTTAGAAAAAATCCTTGACGTCAGACATATTGCTCTTACTCTTGATATCACCTGGGCTCCTGCTAGTTCCAGGACCTAGACATCCAACGAACACGCAAACTCCGGTCATAGGCTTCCAGGTATATCCGGTGATTTCAGTACCTTTTTCTCTTCATTGTGAAATCACCTTGACAGGATTCAACCTAACATTGCCAGATTGTCTAGCAACAAGATCACATATGCTCATGCTATACAACGAGGACTGATTTCCAGTCCAAATCCAAGACAGATCTTCGATTCTTTTGGGTAGTTATTTTCAGGGCAAGTATTTACAAGATCCCCGACGAAGATATAATTTAACATTCTCGAATGCGTGCATTCATACAAATTCTATATTCTGGAAAGAAATTCACCGTCAAATGTAATAAACCTATTCCCAACATCAGTCCTCTCGTCCCTCGTGCCTTTGTTGAACACGAGCTACAGTCCGGATGGATGAACATGGCTGACACCAAAAATAGATCTTCAAGATGCCCCACGGGCCCCTTGTTTAAGAGGATAGACTCTATTACTACCAACAAAAGGCGATATCAAAACCGGGGGAGCGACATAGAGCCATCACAGGGATCTCGAAGTGTTTGAAAGAGCGGGGTGTAGAAGCAACACGGCACTCGTGCTTAGCCATGTGTGTTCTATAATTAGAGGCGGGGCAAGCATGCGATTGATTGATTGACTGATTTCATTGATCGGCTCTGCCCCTGGACCTGTTCTCCACGAATCAACGAAGATCTCTCATTTCATTCATCCTCGACGAAACACGCAGAAAACACCCAGCGAGGGCCAAAAGGGCCAAATCCCGTGATCGGCGCGCGGCCTGCCCTCCCTCATTCTGCACCACTCTCGTCCACACCGACACCCCCCTCCCTAGGCCAGTCTTGTCAAGTCCAAGCCCCGAGTCCATACTTCCCGATTCTTACACTCCCCCCTTAAGCGCCCCCAACGCCTCGAGGTCTCCGCCCCCCTTCGGTCCTTCCAGCCTGCTGCTGCACTGCCATGGCTCAAGCGCCGCCCACCTTCACACCGGACAGCGAATTCGCTGACCTGCAGACCCCCCGCGGTCCCAGCAGCGGGAGTCTGTCGGTGTCGGCCTTGGCTCGGTTCGAATTCGAAGCCGGCAAGGGCAACGAGGGGACAAAGATTCTCATGATCGAGTGGGAGGACGACGACCTGTCCCGCTCCGCGGCCGAAGGATCATGGCATGTTTCCTGGACCGGCAAGACAACCGTGTTGCCTGCCGATGAGCGGCCAAGTGATAGCGTTCGTCGGTTTTACTTCCTGCTTCCGCCAAACACGACCATTCCTCCCGTCGTGACCCTTTCATATGAGCATCGGCCTACAACAACGGAGAATACCACCACCACCGTCTCTACCCCACCATCAAAAACCAAGGATACCTTCCAACTCAACCCGCTACCTGCTATCTTCCCTCCGGAACTCGGAGCAACGGGACGCTCGGCGGGCAAGAAGGGTGTGCTGCATACAATCTGGGCGAAGAAGCGGTTGCGCGTGCTGGATCGCGAGATCCGGGAGGAGTTTTTGAACAATGCCGAAGGAGTTGCGCTGCACATGGCAATTCAAGAGAAGGAATGGATCGAGTCGAATTTCGGAGACATATCTGGCGCAGTCGACGCGGTGTCTAGGAGTCACGAGTCGTCGACCTCGTCCTCTGTTTACCCCATGGCTCCCGCAACGCCCGTGTCGCCAGTCAGTGGACGAAAGCTGAGCGAGAAGCTCAAGGGCTTGAAGCTGCAGACAAGTGAGAAAGACTTGTCTGCGAATGACAGTATGCTGTTCTTATACACACGATCAATCCGCAACCAATAACTAACCATGCCCGCTTCAGGTCCCAACTCAGCACACCTTCTCTCGCCGCAATCACCCGACGTAGCCGTCTCGTCCTTCAGCTCATTCCGCAACGTGAACCGAGCCATGCACTCGATGCCAACCCCAGACACAAACCCCACCCCAACACCAAGCACGCAAATCCATCCCTCGGAGCCGAACCAACTCAAGCCCGCCGTCGCCCATTTCCCACCGCAATCTCTCCAAGAAGCGCAGCAGGACACCACCGGCGTAACCGGTTTCGCGGCCCTGGCCCCGACAGTGCGCGAGCCAATGGCGCGCACCTCGAGCGCAGACTCGGGCGAGGAACTCTTCGCCAAAGCACTCAGTCCGCGCTCGCCGGATCTACCGCGGAGCCCATTCTCCTTTGCCTAGTTGGCGGCTGTTCTTTTCTTCAACCTTTTATACCATATCCTCTTTATTACTGCTATGATTCCCCTCTGTGCGGCGCTTGACGAATCTTTTGACTCTTTCTATTTTCTTTCGCGATATGGTTTTTTTTATCGTTGCATCTTCACCTCATGTCATCTCTCGTATTGGAAGTGGCCGCCATGGTATCCTATCCAGTGTACATAGACGAAACAAAAACAGCACTTTCAACTCCACGGATATCCTCTTCCGCATACACCACCACCAACCACCAGGTTACACCACCCGAACCTTAAAAGAAGCTTCGAAGCAAGCAAACAACCACCAGTGTTGTTCTCCAACTCAGCTGCTCTTCTTCCTCTGGCTCGCCTGCCGTCCCGGCCGTGCCGAAGACCCCGACGACGAACCCGACGTAGCACCCGCAGCAGTCGCACCATCTGCACCACCCTTCTTGCCCGCAGCAAAAGCCTCAGACTCCTGCGCGTCCTTGCGATCGGCATACCACTGCCCAGCCTGCAGGGCCAGAATGCCAACCAGAACAAGAGCGAGAATGGTATTCGAAGCAGCAAGAACCTTCAGCGAGTCCTCCCGCCCAAGAATTTGTTCCATCTCTTCGGCGGTGGTAGCCAGCTCGGCACCGTAGCGGCCCGCCGAGGCGAGACGCAGACCCTTGACGATGTTGGCGATGTAGACGGTCACGCCGCACATGTAGAGCACGAGGGAGGCGCCGTCGAAGAGCATGTTTGACTCGGAGGGGCGGTAGAGTTTTGTGATGAGCCCTGCGAGGCCGAGGAAGATGACGATGTGGAGGATGCGAGGGATGAGTGGGGGGGGAGGCGTGGAGGAAGCGGAGGTGGGCTTCGAAGTAGTCATAGTGTGAGGCTGGAGTGGGAATTGTTGACCAGAGGATTGGGTAGTCGTAGGGGAAGAGGGAGAAGATGATCCCGAGGAAGAAGCAAGTTGCTGGGTTAGTGTCAGTCGGTCTGTTCTGGCTGTCTGTCTCGCGTGTGGTGGAAATGTGGGGGGGGGGAAATGATGGAGGGAGCGAAACATACGGCACAGGATGAGGAAAGTCGCGAACGACGAGGTTTGTCGGGAGGCCATGGTGGGTGGATTGGATGTCCTGAAAGACAGGACTTGAGGGAAAGGCGGGTTGGGAGAGAAGATAAAAATAGGGGGAATGGAAGGATGGAAGGTTGGTTAGGCTTGGCCGCCAAGCCCGGGCGATAAGGACGGACTACCCATGGTTACCACTGCGATATGATAACTACGATAGGAGATCGATATGTATGATATGGATGGATACATCGGTATGATACAATTCCTATGTGTCAAACGCCCTTGTTATATCCCCAGCGCCTCCCGTATATCATCAAATGAATCATCAAAATGGGTATCTTGTTCTTCCCCGGGGCAATCAATGCAAATATACACAATTATCAACTCATTCCACCGAAATTCACCGCTGATAGACCGGCAACGACTCATCCGCCTGTGCAGTCCCGCCTACCAGCTGGTCATCCTCGTCGAAGGTCGGGGCGCTAGGCCCCGCGGCACTTGCTCCGCCATCTGCGGTCTCTTCATCCGGAGCGCTGGCTTCGTGCATGAGTCGCTGGCGCTCCATTTCTCGTTTGTCATCTGGTTGCGCCGGGTCGCTCGGTTCCGCTGCACTCCCGTTCACGACGACAGTCTGTACCGAGCCGTGTGGCGGCCGTTCGGTGCCTGGAGATGGCAGGTGCTGGTAATCATGCAGACCATCCTCATCGGGCAGGACGGGTGCAGTCGGCTCATTGGAAGTAGATGGTCCCGCCTCACCAGGGGAACTGGGCAAGAGGGCTTCCTCATGGCGTCGTACTCGCGTCTTCTCGTCCACTGGTTCTTCGACCTCGGGCGGCGCGACCATCGAGTCCATCGGCTGGAAGGGTTGCGTGTAGTCTTCCGTATAGTCGTACTCATTCCATTGACCTTCCTGGGGGAACCCGTAGTCATCTTGGATTCCAGGGTCCGAGTGGTGGGAATTGGGCATCGGACTCGGGTCGACAGTCGAGGCATCGCCTTCCCCGGGTGTGGCCACTGTTGATGGCGCGGGATACTGGGAATGCTGTGCTGCGGCCGTGGTAGAATCCGCAGCGGCAGATGGGGCGCGTTCCACGCTGGCCTTGCCGCGCTGTGAATCGCGAGTCCCCACAACAACTTCAAAAGCTACCGAGATGACTCCCTTCTCGCGGCGGATTTGATCAGTATCCAAGATATTCCCCGCCCAATTGGCTGTAATGGCGCTGCCGTTAACGTCGGCCGGATTGAGAATCTGTCCGCTGGGCGAGAAAGTGCTGCCGCCGGAGACCATGTTGAAACGCGGGATAAACCGCTCGGGCGAGGTAAACTTGCCTCGCAAGTCCACAACGACCTCAACGTAGTAGCGGAAATTGATCATGCCCCCGGGCACGTGTGTAATAGTTGGAAATGCGTCCTCGGGGACTCGAATGGATGTCTTGATATCGGCAGTCATAGTATGTGGATCGACAATCAGAGGCGCGAACGTTTGTGACAAATCCTTGCGAAATGCGCTGCTGGTGCGAGAAGTGCCCAGCGTAAGACCCCCTAGCCCAGTACGCGAACGAGGATAGCAGTCCTCGTACACCGGCTTCTTCCCGGACGCGGTGGGACCAATAGGAATCGACGGGTGGAGATCAATCCGCCCCTGGCGATACAGAGTGACCATGATGCCGTGCGCACTGCGCACTTGTTTGCAATGGTTGATCGTGACCTTGATCGGCAAGGTATCTCCTGGCAGCACGCCCGCGCGCAAGACTTCGGCCTTTGCCGTAATGGTCCGATCCGGCGCAGAAGGAGACGAGCCGTGCCCTTCACTATTTCGTCCGCCGGTGCTCGAGGAGGAACAGGGGTCACTCGAGATCTGAAAGCTCTGGCTGCTGTTGCTTGGCCGACTGGATGTACTGACATTGCTCGGAGATGGGCTTAGCGGTGGGCGGGATTCCACGGAAGTGACGGTGCCGTTCACAGGAGTATCAGTGGACGACGTATCTGGTGCCGCAGTCGTATCGGATGCTGGCGATTTTGGCTTCGCCTTGGATTTGGAGCGCTTGGACACGGGTTCGAGTGTGACAATGCGAGCTTTGGGTGCGGGAAAGTGTGCGATATCGATATTTTCAAGTAAATTGACTCGTTTTCGGCAGGTAAGAGTAGGGTTCATGGTGGTTGGTCGGGTCAGGGTAGATGTAAGGGTATAGGCAATCGTGCCTCGTTCAAACTAGTTTGATCTTCTTGTCAGCATCTTGTTGCGGAAAGTTGGCGCACCGGGTCAAACGCACATTTATACTGCTGGGAAGCGGGTAAGGAGGAAGCGACATCTCGAAGCGGAACATATATTTGCCCTCCTTGAGACGTCCATCGCCGCACAGAACGACTTCGTCCTCGAATAACGTCGCCAGCCCATTGCCCATATATTCAGCGCCCCGTCGACCACGCCCAGGCCCCAGGAACCCCAGCTCGGGGGTGGCCTCTCCAGCCGGCGTCGCGTTCTTGAACACCTTCACACAGCCATGGAGACAGATGACGATATGGGTGATGCGCACCGGCCGTACGACGGTCACGACGACAGTGCCCTTGATGACATCGCCGGGGAAATAGGAGCGCCATGGGTCGTCGGGATCGATGTAGAAATCGGTGATGTTGCGATTCCGTTGGCCGAGGGGGAGCGAAACTTGGACAGGAAGGAGTTGCCATTCCGACTGAGCGGCGACGATGAGGGTTTGGAGGGAGGAGGGTAGGTGGACATGACACACGGCCGCTGCCTCCTGCATCCAGAAAAGATGACCAGGGGCGGGCGGGCGGAGAAAGGAAGGGACGCGAGGCAGGATACGGATTTGGTATTGATGGTCAACCGCAGACACGAGTTCGACGGGACGCGGTGGCAGCGGCGGGGTGGTTGGATGATGATCAGACAGAAGCCTACGTCAGAAACTCCAATCGAGGGACACGGCGGGTAGTGGTACTGTCGGAGATATTTGTCGATAGCCTTTCACGGTCTGGTTCCCAACTGCTCGGAATGCAGCCCAGGTATGTTCCCCGGGGTCCAGATCCAGGCCCAGGCCTTGGTGCGGGTGGAGGGAAACTCGAGCAGGGGGAGTGAGGAATTATGGGTGATGACCACCGCGCCACATTGTCTCTAGCCAAGTTGGGAATGGCAGAGGAGGAAGCAGAGATAACCCCCGCCAGGAACCGGATATGATGGGGCGAAGAGGGCGGCGACAATAATGAGCGAGGGTCGGAGCAGGGGCAGATGGAGCACAGAGTTTGTCCACAAATAATCACTAGTGGAATGTGGGACTGGGGGGGGGGGAGAAAGGGAAAGAATTAGAGAGAGAGATAGAGAGAGAGAGAGGAAGAGAAAGAGCAAAGAGGGCGAGATACGGGAGAAAGAGAAGAGAGAGTTCGCGACAAGCGGAGCCCCCCGTCCGCCCGGGGAACCCGTGATTCGCGTGTGGTTCAGTCAAGCTTCTCTTGGTCTTCGGCTAACAGACTCGCGTACTACCTACTCGTCCAACTCCCGCAGCCCACCATCCACGTATTCGTCTCCATAGCACTCCCGCAACACCGCCGTAACCACTTCCCGGTCCCCGCCCGCCAGTTGTCGCAGATAGCCCTCGAGGATGTAGATATTGTCCGTCCATTGCTGCGCCTGCTGCTGCAGCCCTCCCAGTGCCTGGCGGATCTGCGTAACGCCCATGGTACTGCCACGACTGCTGGTGCGTTGCATCTCTGTAGCCCGGAGGCGCCCCACCTCGGCCTCGAGCGAGATCCTAGTGGCCATCAGGGTGTCTCGCCGCGACTCGCGATCCTCAACATCATCGGGCTCCTCCCGCTGTCGCAGCGCCGTCTCAGCGACCCGGGCCGCCTGAGCATCGGCGCACGACTTCCGCGTCTTCTCCACCTCCGTCTTCACCCGGCCCACCACCCGCTCGCGCTCAAGCTTTTCGTCGCTCCCGAAGATCCAGTACCAGTTGCCGCTGCCGATCTTCTCCACTCGCAGCTTGCCCTCGTCGAGAAGTGCCTGGATGTACTCCTTGACCTGGATGCCATTGATCGATGCCACGGGCGGCAGCGTCTTCTCCAGATCTTTGAGTGTGTGGCAGGTGCCTGTGGCGCGGAGGTGGGTCAGGATTAGATCCAGTTTGGCTTCTTTCGAGAGTTTGGGGGGCTTTGGGACGCGTCAGTGCGAGTCTTTGCCGTGGGGGCCGCGTACCATGATGAACCCTCTATTGGATTCGACGCAGATGATGGCAAGCAGTCGCTGCTTTTGTAGAGCAGCAAGTACGTTGGTAATTCGTAAGTGCGTAGTTGATTCGTGACTGCGTAGAGGATGATTGAGCAGGTGTTTCCGGTGGAAGAAAAGTCAGGGCAAGTCACTGGACAAGTCACGGTACAGAGCAACGATGCCATGCTGAATTTCGGGCTTTGGAGAATAATACCCTGACAGACTGGATCTCAGGATATCCATGGTATTGTTTACGGTACTTGCATCTGAACTAACTACCCCTTCGGACCAATGCAGTCACCTTTCTCACATGCCCAGCTGGCCATAGATCGCATGGAAGGGTCTGTGTCTTCCAACGTCCTTCTATCAAACCAACAAACAATGATCAATGTCCCTGCCAAGCACTCCCGCATCTTGGCAACAACCACCGAATGCATGTGGGGGCGGGCTGCCCCCACGATGCCCGGGAGCGGATTCGGCCAACAATTGGCCGCCCGTCCGCCGGAGCCAAGACCCTAAGCAAACGCCTTGTTCAGCTTCGCCGTCGGTGGTGGTATGTCTAAATAAGGGCGTCGCGGTCTGAGGGGCTCCGACAGGCAGGCTGGATGACAAGTGTATACAGATCATGACCATTGAGCCGGCCCCCCTTACAGGTTGTGGTTGGCAAGTGTGTCCGTGCTAATGCGAACATCCCGGCATGCGGTACGAGATGCCAAGACAGGGTCTGATACATTGGCAGCCGCACAGAGAAGAGCGTGCTCTCGCCCTAGACTGCCAACGGAGACGGCTGGAAGGGCCTTGGGCGTAAATAGTCCATCGGCAAGAGGCGGATCGAGTGTCACATTGCAACAGCTGGAAGAACACTGGAGCAGGTGTGGAGCTTTTCGATCGAGTTTGACCAGTGTTCCTTGGGGTGCACACTGTCAGTAGTCCGCAAACTGTTGAAAAGGGCATCCCACGGAAACCGAGATAGGTGAACGCCATAGTAACCCGTGAGGCTTGGGCTAGATCGAATGAGGAAGTCGGTCATGCGACAAATCATCTTCCTCGTCATTCCGTTTCAAAATCAGTAGTCGAGGGCGCACGACTCAGCCTGCGCCGTTTGTGCTTCTTGCGCACGCCCGTCGTTGTGTGCTGAGAACCCGCCGTGGGTGGGTATACCGTGGTATTCGATCTCTTCCTCCGTAAAGATTTCGCGACGGGACGAGGTACAGAGTCACTCTCACTACCCAGATGTGAATCTTCATCGTCGGACGCCTCCTGCCCTTCCACAAGAACCAAGTCCCCCGTTTCACCCAGAGCTTCTTTCGCAAGTTCCTCGACCAAAACCCCCATCGCAATCAAAGCCGTCTCATCCATACTCTTGTGGTCACTCTGTCCCTGGTCCTCGGTTGTGAACTCGTAGTGGTCAGCGGCATAGGCGTGGATCGCTTCTAGGAGATCGGAGCTAGGAAGCGGGCGGTTGGTGGGGAGAGACTCGTTTGCAAAATAAGTAGCATCCTTCGCTTCGAAATCCACGGCGTGCTCTCTGCGGAGCAGCACCTCTTCGGGCCGGAGAGCTCGGCGCTTCTTGGGCGCGTGGTGGGAGGCAGCATTGGTCGCTGCGTGCCGTCCGCGATTGTCGAATCGGCCTGTGGACGTTAGAAAGGTGCTTGCGTTCGCGTGGTGGAGTAAGAGGGCATACCAGCTACCACATCGTAGAGATTGGTTGAGCGGCGAGTGACGCGTGTGGGAGAGAGCTCGCCTTGTGTCTGGGAGACTGTGGGCGGATCAACCCAGGTGTTCTGGGTCAGTCGAAGGGACCGGCCATGGGACATGCTTGGGGGGGAGGGGGAGAGAGAGATGTTAGTGGAAGCTATTCGGATCCATTCCCGTTCAGAATGCGCCGGCGGGACATTTATCCGAACAATACTGATGAAGACGCGAAGAGAGGATGGATGTCCGAAGCTATCTAACTCCTAAAGGAAGATTTATATATGAAGGGAAAATGCGACGGAGCCTGAAACAGTTATCTGTCTGTCTCGTCACATCTCCCTCAGGATTCATGGCGTCCTAAAATGCTCAAAACTAAGAACCATGATAATCGGTCCAAGAAAACAAGAGTTTGTCCTGTTTGCTTGTTTGTCCTGCAGTCCGACAGCCTGCCGTAACTTCCCTTCCTTGCCAGCAACAAATGAATGAATGAATTCCTATCTGCTCAACAGAGCCCTTGGGTCTGTCACTCCATCTGCCTTCCATGTCGCCCAAACTACCCGACTAGTTCACCACCTCGAGCCCGCGCCGGGCATCCGCTTCTCAGGTCGCCTTCCTGGTCCCTCCACAGACCACGAAGATGACGTCGCACCACTCGATAGAGAGCTCGACCCGGTCGCGGAAGTGTTTGCGCATAAGTCGGGGGTGAATTGCTTGGCTATCGATCAATTCGAGGGACGATAGTGCGTGTTGCGCTTCTTCTGGCCGCCGTGGTCCCATTCAATCTGACAATGCAAATAGTATGATATCCGGAGGCGCTGACCCCTCGATTCGCTTGTGGGACCTTGAGACTAGAGGGTCACAGCTCGAACACATCCATAGGTCCTGTGCGTCGGTCAGTAAATCCTCGCATGAGGATGCGCACACCCACGCCATTACCTCGCTCTCCATCTACCCGTTCGATCCCGTTCCGTCCACCATATTCTCCACGTCGCATGATGGCACATTGAAGCTGTCTGCACTGCAGTCGCCAGCGATTACACCGCTGCATACATTTACACTCGACTGCACACCGTACTCGCACTCCTTCTCGGCTCAGCCGGCTTCAACACTGCTCGTTGCAGTAGCCACATCGGACCCGACAGTGCGGCTGGTGGATTTACGCTCGGGACTATCGACGCATGGATTGCCAGGACACACCGCTGCTGTTCTCTCAGTATCGTGGGCCCCTCATCAGCCGCACCTGCTGGCATCGGCCTCGGCCGACAATCGCGTGATTATATTTGATGTGCGTCGCGGAGGCCACAATTCTGCGATTGCGACTTTGGACATGGACGACCCGATAGGCTTGGTTAATCCTGGATCAGGTAGTGTGTCAGCATCATCGGAGAGCCGGTCAGCATACTCTCGGCATGGTCGTGCCCACAACGGAGCCGTGACTGGTGTGCGCTGGACATCAAATGGGAGCCACATAATCACTACCGGGCAGGATTCCCGAATCCGAGTGTGGGATGCAGCTACCGGCGCTAACACGCTCGTGCACTTTGGACCGCGTGTGCGAAATACCGCATCCTCGCATTTGGCGGAGCGGGTGCCGCTGATCATCCCGAAGGGACTCATGGACTCGGGCCAAGAAACACTACTTTGGCCGAATTTCCACGAACAGGATGACCGTGGGGAGATTTTTATGTTTGAACTCCGCGAGGGGACCTTCATTAAGCGTCTTCGCGTACCGGGTCTCTCGACAGGGCCGCAAGCATCCCGTGGTCGGTCAACGGCACTGAGTGCGGCACGCATCAACGACCTCGTCTGGCGCGGTAACGGGGCGTCTGGTGAAGGCCTCGAACTGTTCTCCGCGCACGGTGACGGAACTATTCGGACTTGGGTGTCTCGAGAGCCGGATGGAGAGCCGGATGAGGCCGAGGAGGCTGCTCAGGCCGATCGCAAGAGAAAGCACGATGTGTTAGAAGAAATTTACCAGGGGTTTATTGGAGCTGATCCCCGGCTACATACTTGATGGTTGACTTGTTTATGTGAAATACGACTGGTTCATCATTGTACCTGGTCGCTTTGTATTTTCATGAAACGCCATACATATCATCCATTCTACCGACCATATCCCATATCTCTGGAATTTTACTTGCCAGGTGAGGCAAGGCGCATCAAAAAAGACGACATATAGAGAAATCACGCATTTCTACCCGCATGTTCGCCAATCTTGTCCGCGGAATCCGGATCCTCCTTCGCATACCGTTCAAAAGCACTCCGATTCAACTTCCCATGCTTCGTATCACGAACATCGCCTTTGCCAGAGGGGTTATTCGTGCCCATTTGGGTACGCTTCGACTCCACCTCTGCCGGCAGCGAGTCGCCCGTCCCCGTAATGACGTCCCCAGTCATGCCGACGTCTCGCGTCGAGCGCGGCAGGTCGGTGGGATTGTCGACTGCAAAGGACGTGCTTGGCTCCGCCACACCCTCATTGTTATACAAGAAGTGCTCGGCGCGCTGGTCCGGGCGTGGCACGGAGGGGATGGTGCGCTGTTCACCGGCATCGTTGGGAATAGTGGTCCCCTTGGCCGCCATCTCGGAGAGAGTGCCGCCTTGGTGAGGGTCTTGCTGCTGGGAGGCCATTGTGTCTGTGTATGTGGTTGCTGGGGTTTGAAGTTGAAAAATGTTGCTGTAGAGCCGCTTTGTATACTCGGCCAGGGTTTTCAGAGATAAGGGTAGGACTGTCCTTTTAGGTCCTTTGGGATTTAAATCATTGAGTGATCTTAAATCTACTTTTAGGTCCGTAATGAACCCATATTTTCAAGTTCTGACTACTTGCTGTTCTGATGTCACTGCATAGTCTGGATATGATGTTGAGATGATATCACGCGGGTTGTGCGTGCCTTGGTTGGAGTATTGCGCGAGCTAACCCTATTTCTAGAAGGATTGCTGTATTTAGCAGAGAATCAAGCTTTGACGGATGATAGATCTGGAACTGGCGTATTGAAAGATTTGGCATTGATGCTCTGGTTGATGCTTTATCACAAATGATGCAATCAGTCGAGGACAGGCTAAAAAGAATAAAACCCGGAGCGTGCTGATTGGAATAGAGCTACTAGAACAAAGAGAAACTGCGAAAAACGGGCTTTCTAAATGCTGGGCTGAAAATGGTCCTGCCGGTACAACTACAATGTAAAGGACCAAGAGCGTAGTCTACAACCGGAGAGGACGAAAAAGCGAATCCATAGAGGTAATTAATACTCATGATACATTCACTGAAATGGGCAACAATCAACATTGATTGTGGAGATAACTGAACTGGGAGTACAGAAAGGAAGACAAAGTCAGAAAGAAACGAAAGAAGAATGGGAGATCCCTCGGAGTGAGTGGTACACCATGGTCAGGACCAAACTCCAATTTTCAAGCCAAATACCACATCTACAGGATGAAGGCGAGAACGCCCATCACAGCAGCAGCAACGGAAACAAGGCCGCCAGAGAGACGAGGGGCGTCGCCGGTGAACATGTGGGCGCGAGCAGAAGAAGAGGCAGAGGCCGATGCGCTAAACTCGGGAGAGACACCAGTGGGAACCGCCTGGCTCGTAACAGGAGTTGACGAACCCATGACCATGCTTGAAGAGGCCACGGGGACATCAACAGGGATCATGGAGTAGGACATGCCCTTGGTCACCGGGCGGTGGGACTGGTAATCGTAGCTGTAGACAGGGACCATGGACGACGAAGCCGGAATAGCAACAACAGTCTCCATCGAGGGCTGCGGGGCAGGGTTGGAGTACACCTTCCCTTGTGGAACGTCAGAGTGCTGGGGGACGGCGGCCATGGGGATGGCGCTGGTCTCAACAATCATGCTGGTAGCAGGCCGCTGTGTGTAAACAGTAGCGGTTTTCTCGACCTGGCGGTAGTGGGTCTTGGTGACAGTGCGAACGACTTCATGTACAGACGCAGCGCACTCAGTAGCGTGATCCACATCCTCGCGAGGTGGGTTGCTCTTGCTCTTGAAAGTGGGAGGGGTCTCCCCAGAGGGAGGGCCGTATGCGGGATCCTCGAGCTCGGAGGGTGGGAAGTTGTCGATGGACGTTACGGTGTCAGGATACACATCTGTGCCATAATACACCTCCGGAGGAGGGTGAACATGAGTCACGTCAGCTTTGATGGCGTGGTTGTCCTGGTGGTGCTCATCGACATGGGTGTCAGTCGAGACGGAACCACCGCCGGAAATGCTGTTGCCGCCATCGTTACCAGAAGGACCACCTTCAAGGGTGGCGCCACCATTTGCACCGTTCTGGCCAGCGTTCTCACCAGCATTCTGGCCTTCACTCTGGCCGCCCGAGGACTCGCGGCTGCTGTCTGGGGCGTAGGCGCGGCGGTAAACACCATTTCCAGTGCCAGAGCGAAAGGGAGTAATATCACCCCCTGGGATCGTTTCACCAAATTGATCCTGGGCAGGCGCAGCCGGCGGCGGGGCCGAAGGAGCATCGCCCGTAGTCGCAGCTTCAGGGAAAGCAGGCGCTTCAGGAGCCGGGGCCTCGGGCGGTGGAGCCTCAAAAGAAGGAGGAGAGTTTGCCTCAGGGCCAGGGAACGGAGGTAGGGGAGGGGAAGGGTACACATCCTTGTCCTTGACATTGATAGCGTGGTTGTCATCCCAGAACTCATTGACACCGGTATGAGTATCGACTGTCTCGGGGGCAGAGAAGCTTTGGCCGCCGTCATTGCCAGACGGACCACCCAGAGCGGTGACATCCTCCTGAGGACCCCACTCCTCAGGGTCCCAATCGCGCTTAGGAGCAACAGGCGGGATACCAAACTCTCCCTCAGGATCCTCCAAACCAGATGGTGGCCCGCCGAAAGAGGGAGCGCCAATGGGGCCAGCCTCGTGTCCACCGAAACTAGGTGGGCCCTCGAAATCTGGAGATGCAAATGGGGGAGCACCGGGAGCAAATGGAGGCGGCCCGGGGGGAAGGTAAGGCGGCTCGTGAATATCCTTGTGCTTCACCTTGATCGAATGGTCGTCATGGTTGAACTCGTTGACATCGGTGTGGAAGTTGCCGGTAATGGGCATATCGAAGCTCTGGCCTTCATCATCGCCAGAAGGGCCCCCAATGGCAGTGCCACCCGAAGGCCAGTGGCGCTTCTTGAAAGGACCCAGGCCAGGGACCACAGGGCCAGGGCCTTCAAGGAAAGTGACAGGCTCCTCCCACGGCACCGGGGGCGGGTACACATCCTTGTCCTTGACGTCAATGGAGTGGTCATCCTTGCTCCATTCATTCACATCGCTGTTGGTGTGAACGTTTGGGGTGATGCTTCCAACAGCGTCACCTTTATCGTTGCCAGACGGGCCACCCAGAAGAGTCGGCCCACCTGGCTGAGGCGGGAAAGGCAGTCCAGCATCACCAGGCGCGCCAAGGTCTCCTGTCTAGTCTCAGTGTTAGCTGGCATTCCAAGCCTCCAAGCCTCCAAATACTCGAGTTTCACTTACAGGACCGTCGAACTGGGCCTGGGCCGCGGCTGCGAGCAGCGCCAGAGGAATCCCACCAACAAATAGGCCCTTCATAGTTGCAAATGCCGAGCCGAAGAATTATTTGAAAATAGTATGTATGATGTTGCCCGATATAAGTTAAAAGAGCGACTTGAAATGAATCTTCACGGGAGCAGATGAAAGAATGGCACAATCACTTGAAGATGCTCCCTGTAAGCTAGAGCAACCCTCAGTCGCGGGCCTTCTCGAGGTTCGTAGACCTTTAGTAGTTCTGTCGCATTCATGATCATCGGCGCTGCTCACACATCGGAATGCCGGCCCACAGAGAGACGATGGGTCTCCCGGCCGGGTAAACAGACTAGTGTGCTGCATGGGAATGTCACGGAGAATGAAAAACAGCATCGAGATGCTGAATCTAGCCCACTTAGGTTGTTGATACTGGGGAAGAATCCGGGTGTGGCGCCTGGAGAGGTCGTGGTACCACATTCTTCGGTCTTGAGAGGGATAGGTCTTGCGGAGATCGGATTCACGGACCTTTCCATCCAACCAGGAGCCAAGGGGCAACGTATACCTGTGCAACAACGTCAATCTCAGATCCATGGCTATGACGCAATGTTTTGGGCCGATGCATCGGCCCAAAACAAATGAAGAATTGACAGTGGACCCTTGCCATGGTCGTCGTCCAGACGAACCGGGAGAAACGAAGCCTGTGCACACGCGGACAACGGGTGGTGGCGATCATGATGGCATCCTCCATGATCTTCATAGATGGGCAGGGGACCGAGTGTCTACTGGACCGAGGGAGTGAGCCGAGCAGCACCAAGATGGACAGACGCAAGATTCTGAATAAACAGCAACAGATTGTTTCATTGAAATATCCTATCATCCTAAACTGATTCGACGTGTTCTGTCGTTGTGGCTACGTCGGCCATGTCCGTCAGCAAGCAATAAACCAGCTGAGGACAGGAGAATGTATCCCATTTTCGACATTCCTCCCCCATCGCCCTCACTGAAGAGGACCCAACGGGAGACAAACTTCCTACAAGGAATATTAATCTCCAGAACCGATCAACTCCCGAAGAAGTCGAAGGCAACACATCGCCGTGGGAGTGTCAAAGGAGACAGGACGATGGTCGTGGCGGGTTCTGTTGCTTTTTTTTCGATGAAGAAAGAAAAAGAGAGAAAACTAATTTTTTTGCGGCTTTTGTAGGTCACGGGAATCGTGGGTCATGTGATCGGAGCAACCCTGTTCCGAGATCGGTTCTACCAACATGAAAACAAACAGATGTACAACAAAAGTCACGGTTCGTTCATTCGAGTAAAAAATAACATAGCACTGCGCCAAAGAGTCTATCCATCCACTCAAGTAGATCAACAAAATCGCAACAATGATCTGTCAGGATGTCAGCTGTGTCCAGGCTCCAAAATCCGATCGCCAGTACTTACCGGTCAGTCCAAGGCGGCCTTTTCGGCACTGTCTTTCCAGGCTCCACCACCCACAGCTGCCGTAATGCCCAGCGCGACCGCGATCATGCTTCCGACAGTCACCACTGCCACGACTCCCTTGAGCGCCATGCGCTGTCTGTTGCTTAATGACTGCATCCATGATCGCGGCTGGTTCTCCTCCTCCCACAACTTAGACCGCCGAGGACTTTCATTTCTCAGTGCCGAGTACGGCCCGGCATTCTCGGTTTCCCGCAGGTGACTTGGAGTTTGGTTCTGGTTCTTGGTTTCGAAAGTGAGCTGTTCGTATGATATCGTCGGCGTTCCATGTCGATAGAAGGGCGAATAAGGCTTGGCGCCGATGGACGGATCAAAGTCCTGGCTGCGGCCTTCGTTGATCGAGGGAGTTGACTGGACCGAGCCTGGCGGCGAGTGGCACCTCGGCGTCTCTGGATGTTTCTCGTCGTTGCTCTTTATTGACGCGGCGGTCACCTGAGCGCCAATCACTCCGAGGCCATGCAAACTCATGGCCTGTCGGTTTCAAAAGATCCGGGAAATAGATCGTCTGAAACTCAGCCGCTTTGCCTTTGACGGGGGCAGCGGGCTCGGCGGGCTGTGGTTCTCTTTGGGGGTTGTTGCAGTGATGGCTTCAGCGGGGATGACCAGCGTTGGGCAACCGCCATACATAAACAATGCGGTGTCAACTTGGAATGCGCTCCAAGACCAGGCGGATCGGGACAGTCTCATCACTCCGGTCCGTTGCTCGGGCTATAGTAAGAGAATGGATGGATGGATGAAGTAGAGTACACCCGTGCAACTCGAGGAGGTCAAGTAGACCGAGGGCGGCTTTTCCTAATGGCAGGCTTCCCCTTCTCAGCAGGCCCCTCGATGCTCACACCGATTTGAATTGTGTGGGAAATCAAGATCTACCTTGCCCGGTGCCTGCCCCCTAACGAATTCTTTTGTCGGGGATGCAAGGTCGCGGTCGGCTGCTATTTGCTTTTCATCCCTAGATTGGCAGCCCCGTCCCACCCCCCGCGGCATTCCTGCCTCCTCCTGTGCCAGGGAGCTTTTTTTCCCCTGCAGCTACTGCAGCACGGTCACTGGTATAATGCATGCCTCCGGTCGATCATCGTGTTGACTTTGCGTCACCCCTTCCATAGGCTGCTGACCTGGCTGTACCCTTCCGTTCTACCCGCAATGGGTTAGATCCCGCTAGGGCCGGAACACAGCATATACAGTAGTGTGGCACCTCGTCTGCAAGGTTGATCACACTGTGCAAATTTCGGTGGCTGGACGGGTTCGTCCACTCCCAACAATCACACCCAAGACGTGGTGGTCGTCTTCATTCACAAGCATCGAGAATAGATCTATCATGAACACAAATAGCTTCGCACTTTTAATCAGACTTTTTTGCTTGCGGGATTGCGGAAAATCATTGTCTCTTGTACTATACATGGCTAACTGCAGGACCGGCTGTTCCGTGATCGACAGAACGCATCTCTACCATGTAACTGCGAGGATGCCCTCAATAATATATGTACACATCCTGCATAAATTTATGGATATCTGATATCCGAGAGAATTAAATCATTCGCCATTTTAACATTTTGGTACGTATTGTGTGATGTGGTGCGAATTAAATGTCCGTGGTTGTGGTGTTACCCAATGTGGTGCAATATATATCTCAACCTTGGGTCCAGACACTTGACCCGACCCACAGCTTATTTCTGGTAATGGTTTCAGAAACCTTCTTAATCAATTATATACTCATTTATACGAAAGTTCATGATATAGTACAATCTAGACAGACCCTCGTTAGTGATGGTGGTGGTCACTGATATTTGACCGGCGGGTCTTCAATGTTTGAACTGCTGCTGTAACTACTAATACTCATCGACTCAATGCACCACCTGCGAACTATTTCATTTTTGACAGCCAAAGTAAATATAATCATCATCATATGTTTTAATTAGTGCAATTTCATGCTGTGTATTTAACCCTACAACAAACTACGACTGTATTGTTAGTTCACCAATTCTCCCTCCGACAAGTTAGACATTAACTCTCTCCAATCACACCATAGACCGGAAAGTCAATTGAGGTTGTATATCTTCAGCATTATTCAGTAGACACACATACGCACCACTGAGTTCTTCGACCTCAGCCAAACGAGAGAAGGTCCCGTAATACTTTAGCTGTTGCTTCTAATCGGGGGCAACTGCGGCACCCAATATGTCGAAGCAGTGTTGACCAGGCCGGACAAGACGTTGTTGACACCGTTGCCATGCTGGGCCCACTCCATAGCCAGTGTATGCGTCATGTTTCGGATCCCGGCCTTCTGGCCTTCGACGTGCCGTAGCGGGTGGAGGGAACGACCTGTGAAGAGGGGATAGCGAACATGTTACAGACCAATCATACAACTCAACCCAATAAGAGAACGACGAGTTCACTGGCTTTGTTAGGACGGCATCCGGTCGTGGGGTGCGTCCAGACAATTGACCCCTTGATACTTCCCGTGATGAATGCTTGCGCAGCACTCCTGGTCGTGTGGAATGTACCAACTAGTTGATCCATTCCAGGTAGTTGGACAGTCAACCGCTTAGCAATCTGGGGCGAGAAGGGTAATTTCACGTTCACACTGAATTATATATCCTTCGATATCTTCGGTCGTCAAGTCAGGGGCCGTTTTGTGGTTCAGACAAGCAGAAAGAGAAAAGTAGAGAACACTCTTTGAAGCAAGGTACAAATACTACGCGCGGTGGCTACCGTTCGTCTATCGCCGGAATATGCCCCTCACGACAGTCGATAAAAATGGGTTCCAGGCATAGAGCTCTGTAGATGGAGACTCTTACCAGAGTGAAAGTAGCGATGATTGTGATGACTCCACGAATGAAGACTTTACGGAGGATTCAGGTCAGTTAGGAGCCATTTCTGACAAAGGTCTCACAGTAGTATGTGAGGTGCAGTCTTCAGGAACAAAGGGCTCCTCCCCTCTCTCCATCCGCCACCGATTGGTGGCCTCTAACACCCCCGGCAAGCCTTTAATCAACCACCCCCATTTCTTCAGAAACCCTTCCGACATCTCCCACCCCGTGATGTCCCAGGGTGGCGACCACGCAATGATGCCGCGTCGCTCGATCTCGTCGTCGGGGAAGCCCTCATACAGCCCCCCGATGCAGTCGGCCCACAGCTCGTCCTCGTCGAATGTGCCAGTGGCCTGTATCAGGCGGTCTCGTCCCTCGGGACACGGGAACAGGTCGATCCAGTCGCCGTGTGGCACCGTTTGTTGAAGGCTTGTAGGCAGGAGTGTTGAAGGAAGTAGTTCGGGCTTGGTAGGGTAGGGGATGACATGGATAACTTCCTCATCACAATCGAGCGGCGTGACGAGGACGCCCGAGATTAGAGTACGGTTGACGACCAGGGCGCGAAGGGCGTTGAATTGGAGGAGCGTGATGAGGTGGTCTGGGCAGAGAGGGAAGACGATGTTAAACTGCTCTTTTCTAGTTTTATCTGGCAGTAAGGGATTTCTCGCATTGTATAGTTGCTTGATACGGGATGCTGGGACGATGGAGACGGATTGCTGCTCCATGTCCCAGCATTCCACCAGCGCTTCTGATTTGATCAGTGTCCCGGTTGTGGCACTAGATGCTTCGGCTTTCTTTGCTAGGGGTTTGCGTTTTCCTACTGGACTGTTAGCTTCTCTTATTGGGTACCTGTTGATCGGGCTGGTCGTGACGAAATAGAAAATAAGATCTTACGGTATGCCCTTGTGTTTAGTCTAGTCTGTGCCCGTCTGCGTGCTGCGGCATCCTTGGTCCCAGTCCAGTCGTCTTCCCTGCTTATCGCCTGTACGCGGTGAGCAAGTCATGTATCTTGGTGATTGAAGGCGGCCTGGTAAGTACCTCGGCCAATTGTGGCATCGACGCGAGTTGGATGCGCGGTGCTGTTGAATTTGAAGGCTGATAGCTACTAATCATGATGCTAGCAAACGTTGTAATTGCGGTGATGGTGAAATTGGTGATGAATGATGCAAACTTCTTCGGGCCCGCCAAGGCGGTTTATGCAGCCTGCTCACAATGAGGAGTCTGACACTCGGGAACGGAGGCATTGATATGCCGACTATTCGACAGACAGGGGTTAGTGAAATGGCAGGATATCATTGGTCACTATTACAGTGTCTAACTTGACCAGGTCTAGCGTCATGTAACCTGCTCACATTATGACTGGATGACAAGCTCCACTATCACGACTTGATTGACAAGCGCAACATTATGATTTCCAGAGGGTGGCTAATTTGGACAGTAACTAGACATCCGGTAGTGCGCACCACGCTTCATGCAGCTGGCTCACTCGCTCACTCGGAATTCTCCTATTGGTCCATCTCTTCAATATACCAAGTCGGATGGGACGTGATTGGCCCAAGGGTCATGCAGCTTGCTCACAATATCTGATGCTCGGAATAACCTCCAAGATGCAAGTATCTCGTACATTGTTCAATAAGAGCTATATAAAGATCGTAGCAACATCTTAATTTCGACGCATCTTCCACTATCATCAAAAACATAGAATTCAATCCAAGACATTGGATTGTCTGTTTGTGAATATTACACCTTCACACATTGACTCGAGTACTCGTTGTGAACATGACTTTCCATCCCGACACTCTCCCCGATCTCAAGGACAAAGTATTCATAGTCACAGGCGGGAATTCCGGCATGTAAGTCTCCCCTCGCCCCTCTCACCACGAAGCCCGAATCGCTGATCACACCGAACCGCAGAGGCTACTACACCATAGCCCACCTAGCAAAACACGGCGCCCACGTTTACATGTGCGCCAGATCCCCGGAGAAAGGCAAAGCAGCCATCGCCAACATCAAGAAAATGCACCCCTCAGCCAATATCGACCTCCTGCAAATGGACCTCATGGACCTCACCAGCATTGTCGCGGCCGCCAAGCACTTCCTCGCCCTCGAAACAGCCCTGCACGGCCTGGTAAACAACGCAGGCATCATGGCGACGCCCTTCGAAATGACCAATGATGGCCACGAGGCCCAGTGGCAGACCAACTACCTTGCGCACTGGGTTTTGACGGAGCACCTGCTTCCTCTGATACTGCGGACCGCTAAGACACTTCCTCCCGGCAGCGTGCGCATCGTCAACCTCACTTCATCAGGTCACTTGGGCGCACCCAAGGGCGGCATCAATTTCAAGGACCTATCGCTCAAGGATAGCGGCCCGTGGACGCGGTACGGACAGAGCAAGCTTGCCAACATTCTGCACACCAAGGCTCTGCACAAGACGTACGGCCCCGGCTCTCCCAGTGCGCGGAACGGGGAGGGCGAGATCTGGGTTTCGTCCGTGCATACGGGTCTGGTTGAGACGAATCTCGCCACGTCAGTGGGGGAGTCGGGTTCGGGCATGATGAGTGTTTTCTCGGTCTTACGCAAGTTTGGATTGATATGGCCCGCCGATAAGGGGTCGTGGACTAGTTTGTTCTGTGCAGCGAGCCGGGATATGAAGGCGGAGCAGAGCGGCGCGTATTTCGAAATTTTCCGGCGATTTGGGGAGCCAAGGTGGCAGAGCGGTGCGGCAAAGGATGGGAAGCTTGCAGAGAGGTTGGAGGAGTGGACTGGGAAGGTGATGAGGAAGGAAGGTTGGATTCAATAATAGCGTCAACTGATTTCGGGCTTTTCCGATAATATTAATAGATTTATTGTTTTATGTTATTACATGTTCTTATGTTTCTTGTTTATTCATGTATAGTTTTATTCACTTTTATACCTTTATGTATATAGTTTAGAGTTGTATACCCCGTGAATCTTTATCTAATACTGAGCTGTTTATTCATTTACAACATAAAGGCCATCAGACCAACAGCAAACGGGACACCAGCGAATGCGCTCCCCCGAGTCGCACCATTGGTCTCGCTGGGGCTGGCGGAGCTTGAAGTGGTATTGCCTGTGGTAGATGGCTCGGAGGCAGCAGTGGGAGAAACAGATGATGCAGATGAAGATGCAGAGGCAGATGACCCAGTGAGGGTAGAAGCAGTAGGGCTCGAGGCAGAAGCCGAAGCAGAAGACCTGATCTTGGCGTCAATGGTGAAGGTCGAGTCGCCCGTGTACAACTGCACCGTGCTCCCGCCGGACTCCGTGGTCGTCAGGTCGTCGCTGGAGATAGGGAAGGTTCCCGTCAGCGGTTCCATGTCTGAATTGATTGTAAAAACCAATCCGCCATCGCCCGACTTGGCGACAGAGACGGTGTACGTCCCGCACTGGGTCTCGCTGACGGCAGGCAGCTCGCCGTTGTCGCTCGTGCCCATCACATCGCAGCCCTGTGTGAATTTGGGATTGTTGCTGGTAGATATGCTGATTTCATAACTATACCAGGCCAACTGTCAGTTTAAGTAGTCCTAACCTTGTGTGTGAGAGAGAGGCGGCGTAGGAGAACGGACAAACAGTATATGCTTTTAGGCGTGCAGGCTGCCGAGAAATCGCTGATCTCGTACTTCAGATCGGTGGCGTCGATTTTGGCTGCCCAGGCCAGGGGCAGGAGAGCGGCGACGGTTGTGAACTTCATTTTATCGGCCGAGTCCAAATGTATGCAGTAAAGGGATCAACTAAGTTGGAGGTAAACGAGTGGGGTGATATTTGGCTCGTGGCGACAGGAATGACTCGGAAGTCGAGCGAGAGCATCGTGACATGTTATTAAATAAGGAGCCAGGCTTCTCTTAACCAAAACATGCCAGCCAAGGCCAGCCAAGAAGATTGGTTGTTCGTACATTTGATCCATCCATCTCAGGCACCGTCGGGACTCGGCAGAAATATCTCCAATCACATTGGCTAGGTTTAACATAAACAGGAGCTTCTGTAGGGGGAGTTCATGGCTTTGCACATTGGCATTACTTCAAGTGTCGACTTTGATTGGCACATGAAATGAAAAAGAGCCAAGAGCGGGTCAGATCCACTTTCTGCGGCGTGGATTCGCCGGGGTTCAACAAGGCCGGGCCAGGGCCAAGATCTTGCGTACTTGGTTACATCGGCCTGGATGGCGAAGGGTTGCTTGGCAAAACGCCTCGACAGAACCTGAAAGTCCTTCCCTGTTTCGCCAATGTCGATGGAGTAAATTCGCGCTAGACAGTTGGCAAGACAGCATTCTGCGATTTCAAGGCCAATGCCTCGGTTAACTCCAGTAACTTTTCTACATGGTTGTGTTAATCTGAGCGAGGTAGAATATAACGTAGATTGTAATTCAAAGAGGAAACTCAAATATTCTGGGGTAGCTCATGGATACTCCGAGCATCTCATCGACGCTATCAGTCTGTATTGGGTGTCAAATTAGACCAAATGGACACATTGGCCACTATAATTTCGCTTACTAGATCCAGTAGCTCCCCAGCAATCCCTGAAATAGAAGAGTCGATCTCGTTCGGCTGACCTCCTGCCGTCCGCTCACAACAAAACCACAGGTCCTTTCTGATTGTCATTTGCCTAGATCATAGTATGCCCGGTATCAACGATAAACTGGTAAGGCCATAGTGATTTTTGACTTCTGGCCCTGCTCACAGTTCAAATGCTCCTATTCATCACGTTAGCGTCCATGTTCTCCGGGATGTACCCAAATCTCCCTCTTGCTTCCGGTCATGGTTCGTGCATGGATTTAGCAAGAGATAAGGTACACGCGATGTGGACCCTAGTCCATTAAACTCTCGGCATATACCTCAGTGGCAACATGGAATCATAGAAGCCGATCTGGCTGCATCCTTATCAGCTGTCAATATCCCATCTGCGAAGCGGATTGAGGCTGAAAAGACTTGCACAGTTACCCACTCTAAGCTTTAACTAGCCAATATCCGTCGCTGCCCGCAACAACCTTCCTGATTTCGAATAGCTTCTCCACAAAGGTCAACACACGGTCCTCGCGCGTAAGATCCCCACGCTTTGTCCCCCGCTATTACCCTCATCTTCAGAATCATTAATGACAGAATATCTTCAGTGAGCCCTTTGTGTCGGTTTTCAGAATCATGCTTTCGAAATCGAGGTTGGGTTGTTATGGGGAAGTGGGTAAGGGGCCCTGTGACCCAGATTGATTCTCTTACCATCTTCCTGCCGCCGCTAGCGGATGGAGCTGCCTAAGAAGGTTAGTTAATGGAGCACCTATGTATCTGAGGTAAGATAGTGCACTGATAAAGCATCAGTGGCACAGCTATATGAACTCCCCCTCCGCCCCGTTTCCCGCTTTCCAAATAACTCCACAAGTGCATAATTATTGCCCCCTTACAACACAGATATTCCATACCCTCTCTTCTCCCTCAGACTGGTAGCTCAGCACCACATCCATTCTCCTTAGATGGCGGTTTTCTCTCAGTGTCCACTACGGCTTCACTCGCACGCTTATACTATATCTTTGTCCCAACCTCTCCGCAGAGCCAGTAGAAGAAACACTCGGATCTCTAAGCGAGTCCGTTGAGCTACTTCAACTGTAGTGGCAAGACAAATATACCATGTCAATCGAAATCGTCCCACTGGCCAGGGCCGACATTCCAGGCGCCGTAGAGTGTGTGCAAAAAGCGTTCGCCGACGATCCTTATTTTCGATGGGCCTTCGATGATCCATCCAAGGTACGATATACCATCAGAAAGCGACATCCTCAAACATTTGTGCTGTTTGGGCCAAAGAAAACGTAATAATGAACTTCACAGTTCAACCCCCATCGCAATGCTGCCTCTCTTGCGGCCCACTTCCTCTATGGCATCAACTGCAACTGCCCTATTTTTGTTGCCAAAGTAAACCTAGCCAGGAGCGACCGCAAAACCGACTGCGAGATCCTTCTACCTCCGGGAAAAATCGTCGGAGTTGGCTGGTGGTATTCGCCCAAGGTGGCCTCCATGCCTCAGACCTGGTCTGTTTGGGTTCAGGAATGGCTTCTCTCGTTCCGCCAGCTTAAGAACAACATCTTCTTCCTCGGCCGGGGTGGTCTGAATGTTCACCGCTACTGGATCTGGAAGCAATTACAGCACGATACGCATAATTCGCTCTGGCAGGATCCACGCGGATATTATTTCTGCAACGTGGTGGGGGTTACCTCTGAAGCCCGTGGAATGGGAATAGGAAAGAGACTGATGGAGTGCGTCATGGAGAAGGCGGATCGAGAAGGGATGCCCTGCTATCTTGAGAGCTCCAAGGGATATCCCAATGTCGGCATCTACGAGAAGATGGGGTTTCAACTTGTCAAGGAGATTGAATGTGCAGATGGCCCGGATGCATGCAAGGTGAGTGTGTTGTTCATAGACTAATCCTTGTGGCTGACCTGAAACTTAGCTGTACTGCATGATCCGAACCCCCCAGTCTAAATATTGACTGCCCTAATGGGACTGTGGTATTATGAAATCTTATGGCTACCATTTTTCGATGCAATTGGATAATTTAGTGAATTGAATGGAACTATTTTGTTTGAAATTCAAGTTATGTCAAGGTACGGTGCACTCGTGGGACGACTTGAAAGTGAAAGGAAATGCGAACATTTCTCCGAGATGAAAATTCCTGGCTCGTATTCCCAGATGATAGCTTTTCATTGAAGCCCGTTTTCAAGCCAGGCTATACGCCACAACAACTGGTTGGGCAGAGCGGAATATGGCTTGTGGGCTTGGCCAGTTCGGTAAATAAGTCTGGCCCGAAACAGAATATTGTGTTCACGACCAATGTCACAGCCGGTAGTAGTGCATTTCGAATGATCTCGGGAAGGATAACCACTGCGGAGAAAATACTATTCGACGGGTAATAGGCATACACATTACCTAGTAGCGCCTCGGGGCGGCCGTTAGGCAGCACCGACGAATGTAAGACAACGGCCAATCAGCGATGACACTACTGTCAATAAGCTTTACACTGTGAAACAATGCTATATCGACCGGATGTCGATTTTGCGCCAGCGTTGCTATTTTGGGGGTTTTCACTGTGCACAAATGCATAGCCTCGGTGCCGCTAATCTTTCAATGGACTAAGGTGAACGGCAGATGTGCGTAGCGACCCGCCACCACGATTTCGTGATCTGCTCGACAACTGCAGCCGAAGAAACTGGTCAAATCAGCGCAGGCTGCGTATGTCGGCCCGCTGATCCGACCACGCAAGCACCGGGGGTTCCGCGTGGAAGCTCTGTGGAATAAAATCGGAGGTATCGCAAACCGGTCAACCCTGCTTATTTATGGTTTTCTTTTCTTTCCTTCACTCCAGAACTCGCGCTTCCCACCTGCACTCACACCGACATCGGATCCGACCTGAGATCCTCTGCCATGCACTGACCCAAGTTCACCTCCATTCTTTCCATCCACCACACCCATTTCTGACACTCTTTCACAACTCTCAACATGGGTGGACTCACCACCCCCGCCATTATCGTCATCGTGCTGGTCGGCTGCCTGGGCGTCACGGCTCTGGGCGCCGCTTTGTTCCGCCAGTACAATCCAGCCGAGGTCGAGACTCCATACACGCCACAGCGTGAACAATTCACGTACATGCGGACGGTCCGAATGCGAAACTATGCCTATCTGAAACGGGAATCCGAGGACGCAGCCAAAGATCTGGAGTCGCGATGTACGCATGACTGCTCTTGTCTCAGAGGTAAACATTGCTGACTATTTGCTTAGTTACCCCGGATGAGGCATCGGGCTACTACCACCCACAACACGAGCAGCAGTACCACCAAGCCGAATGATTCCCACCGTGCAATGCTTTCTACGATCTGACGAAAAGAAGACAACGAACATCATGACAGATACTTTGGCGGGCATGTTATTTCGGGAAATTTACTAGCGGCAGTCATGGGAGGGCACTGGTGGGAAATATGGCGTTTGCTTCAGGTTCAACAAAACAGTGTGGTGCTTTCGACAGTTATCCATTGGGGCGTACGACCAGGTTCGGTCTCTTTGTGTTTTAGCGGAATCTTGTGCATGGTATCTGCGAATGGATGATATGGCATCATAAGCCCCGGTTTGTTCATTTTGTGTCACTGCCCAGCATAGATGATGGCCAGCCTTCTTGTTCGTTTCAGTCGATCTTATCAGAGCGCCTCGATCAGCTCGACACCTCATGGGTCAACCACCTTTTATGGTATTAAACGTGGTTGACCCTTTTTTTTTTTTTTTTTTTGTTTAACCCAGATGTTCTGGATATCTCCCATCGTTTGAGTGCCCACTGCATGTCTAGCATCAATCCGGACTCGCCTCGTCGAGAGATCATGTCTGGCATAGCCCTCTGCCATGCAACAACATGACATTGGACCAGCCTTTCTACCACGCCATACCTGATCCCGACAAAGTGTTCACGACATAATCCTATACAGGGCCATTTGGACAAGGCGATTTCACCGTCTATGGCATTGATGTCAGCCGCAGCTGAGTGTGTTGGAAAGGGGGCTTGGCATCTTATGGTGATGCTTCGCCATGCTCATCATCACCAACATGCTATGCGCCCAGGCCAGGTGAAGGGTGGCAGCGAACAGATGTGATTTAGGGGACGTGTCTTTACATGGGTCGTTGATAATCCTCGACCCTTAGGGCGTGGGGCAAGGCGTTTCACCAAATTCGGCAGTGGAGCAGGGGCGATCCTGAGCTCCTCCAGCTTCGCGGTCGTTTCCACGGGCCTTCTGCTTCGCCCTTCAATTAGTTGGTTCGCCGATTAGTACTTACTCACAGTCAAGGAACGGCCGCATTGTGGGGGGTGGGATCACCAGTTCACAGACAAGAAAGAGGCGACCGAGCTGAAAGAAGCTTATAACCGGTTTACATCATCATCACCGCGCGACAACCCTTGTCGCAAGGCTGAGGCTGTAAATGCGCCACCCGCATGGGTCAGACTCCGGGCGGATTTGATTCCAGGGTTTGCGAACATCACATGGGGCCGTGCTAGCAGGCCGAGTGAACGGAAAATGGCCCCGATCCTAATAATGAATGAGGATGCCTGAGCTCGCATAAAATGCCGAAACTGGGCCCCAGGCAGCGAGCCCAAAATCAAGTCTGACTGGTCCGCCACCCCTCTCAGCCTTAGCCGCATCTGTAGACACGAATACGATTGCCAAGACTCTAAGTGTCTAGTTCCTTGTTAGCTAACTATTTATTTGGGCGCCTGCCTCGGGCATGCGTCTCGTGCCCCAGTTCCTGGTCATGTTCGCTGCGGCAACCTTGGATTATTATTCCCTTACTCATGTTTCCAAGCGTGAGCTCCCCCGACAATGCGAGCTATTACAGCGACACAAGCGATGAGCGGTAGGCACCTCATAGCGAGTATCAATAAACCAGACTAGGACTGATTATCGCACACAGGCCTAGTCCACAACCCGCGCGCACCAAAATCCACGCGACATTCCAGATCGCGCGCCCGCCCCCGAAATCCTACCAGCGCCTGCTGAGGACGCCAAAACTGCTGCTTCAAATCCAACAGCTGGCCCCAAACCACCGTCCCGTGCCCGTGCTAGAGATCTACGAGGCACATTATCGCAAATCGAAACTAACCCGCGACTTTGCCCAGCGGCCGAAACTAGCCAAGGGGGATATCTATGCTTCACTCGGGGAACCCTACGTCACTTCTCACACGAGGAAGCAGTCAACAAGCTCAGATACACCAGAACATGGCGACCTCCAAGCCCAGGAAAAAGATATTATCGCGGTCATGTGCGATGCGACATCCGCCGTCTATTTCCGCGATGCGCGGTGCAGCTGGCCAGCCAGCACCGGGACGGCAGGCGCAGAGCAAAGCGCGCCATGTTATCGATTTGCGATCACCGATGAGCATGGAAACGAACCAGAGCATTCCAGTTGGATCATGCAGTGGGAAAAAAGACCATCGAGGCATGGAAGCGCTTCCGCGGACAAAGATCAGTTCGTGCTTGTTATTATCGACCGGAAGACACGCCGTAGGAGTCGTCTAGCGACGATGGATCGCGGTGGAGTGGAAATTAAGATTCGCAAGGGTGCCATCTTGGAAAAACTGCAGAAATCCATGGATTTGACGAGCCCCGTTCCGGGCCCGTCCCAGAATCATCCTTACGGGACCCTGGAAACCTGGCTGTATACCCACATACTCACGCTCGGAGCGTGGGTGGCTTCCCACGAGGGATGGCTGAGCTGATCATGAAAGAGATGAATGATTACAATGAAATATGTCCAATACCCACGAAACTGTCGAATACCTGTAAATGTCGTTCAATTTCTGTGTCGGTCTGACTCTTTTTGCTGCAAAACTAGTATATCGCAATTCCTTCCTCCAAGGCCTTGATCTGTAGGGCCAGAAGTCGCGAATAGTATCTGCACAAAGCAAAGTTTCCACCCATAAACCAGTAGCCGGGGTGGCCACTGCGTCTCCAAATAGTACGGATTTCACCCTCCTGATCCAACCCCCAGACGTCACCCACGCGGTCCGCGACCTCGTCGCCAAAAATGCTGCGCGCCTGCGTTCTCATATTCTGATATCCCGTAGCTAAAACAACCTCATCGGCTCCCAACTCCGAGCCATCCGCAAATCTGAGACCATTCGACAGGATCTCGCTGATTTCCTGGCCTTGTTTGACCTTGATCTTCCCATCGGCAATCAACTGACTAGCACCCACGTCGATATAGTATCCGCCTCCACGTTGCAAATACTTCACCAGCAGTCCTGCATTCATTGGGCCTCTGTCGACCTTGAACCCAGCCTGTTCGAGCCCCTCGATGGTCTTTGCGTCATTTTGAGCTTGCAGAGCAGCCACCTTTGACTGTTGCACTTTGAAGAGTGCAGGCGGGATGCTCCACAAGTATATATCCGAATCCTCCGTGGGGGGTCCACCTTCTTCGTAGAGACCCTTGAGACCAATATTGACGATTGAGTCAGAAGAAACAACGCAGGTTGTGCTTCGCTGGACCATCGTGACGTCCCACCCCTTCTCGTAGTAATCCTGCGCAATATCGTGTGCCGAGTTGCAGGATCCAATCACAACGGCCTTTTTGCCCTTGGAGTTTGGATCTGCGCCATCGAACTCGGAGCTATGACAGATGCGAGATCCCTTGAAACCCTCCATTCCCTTGAAAGCTGGCGCGTTCTTCTTTCCCGAGTGTCCTGTCGCCTGGATGACATGGCGCGGATGCAGAGTGCGAGTTTCAACACTCCCATCCTCCGTCCTGCGCTCGACGACCACAGTCCACTGTTTCCGTGACTCATCCCACGAGGAAGATTTTATCTCAGTGCGAGTCCAGACATTTAACTCAAGTAACTTGACATAGGATTCGAAGAATTCGGCCAGCTTGTCTTTTGGAGTGAAAATGGGCCAAGTGGATGGGAAAGGAAGGTAGGGCATGTGGTCAAACCAAACAGGATCGTGGAGGACGAGCTGGTGGTATCGTCTGCGCCAGCTGTCTCCAATTCGGTCCTCGTGGTCAATAATAAGCGTATCCACATCGAGCATCTTCAGCCGGGCAGCAGCAGTGAGACCGCCTTGACCGGCTCCTGTATACTTGGTTAGCACGAACGCTCTCTTTGGTAGATAGCGAGTCACATACCAACAATTACTACTGCGGGCTCCTTCCCTTCAAAGTTTATATCTGCCGTCCGTCGGTCCTGCCAGTTTTTTCTGCCTTGCTGCTCCCCATGCTTCACACCCACGGGTCGATGGCGGCTTACTGCCTCTTCGTGACCCTTCAGCTCGGCCAGGGAGGTGAAGACATTGAAAATCTTCCAGTTACTGCCGTCCTGAGCTAGCCGGATGACTCCATTTCCGCGTCCGACGTCCGTTTCAATAGTGATAAAGAACTCGATTCCATGAACCTCGCCAAAGGCATCAATAGGACCGGCATGTGGTGCTTTCATAGCAGAGGATCGATCGATTTCGAGCTTGGTAGAAGATGCCTCGCTTACGTAGGCAGTTATTCCTTTCGCCCCTGTGATGGTATGGAAATCCCATGAGAAACAGAGGTGATCGCGCCAATAGCTGTTTTCAAGAAAAAGGTCGGAGAGCGTCTGTCGCTCTTTCTTGGCCAGAGCGTCGTTGAGGCAATTAATTATGTCGCTTGCGGTCTGGTCCGGATTCTCTGGGGTTGTCGAGCATGTTGGAGGAAACTTGCCGAGAGGGATGTTGATCGAGCCGGGCTCGACTCGCTCTTGAGAGGGGAGATGGAGCTGGGAATCCGCAACGAGAGTCATGGTGATAGCGAGGAGCAAGGGCCAGGAAACTTGAGGTCAAGTTAGGCAGAAAAGCGTATTGGTTGTTTAGGAACGAGGGGAAGAATCGCCAGCTGTTCACAGTCTGTACGACACGAGCCCCGCATCAAAGACAAACAGTGGCGTTCGTCTTATGTGGGTCAGATCTACGAGGGTTGATCATGTTGGAGGCTAGCCAAAGGATCACCTCGTGCACAGAATGAGACAGAAAGATATTATTCCTACTCGATGAATATGGATTATTTTACCTCTAGATAAATTGTAGGAAGAAGCTATGTCAATGACATGCAGAGTCTGGCCACCGACTCTTGGCTGATCACACGGACCCCGAGGCGCAGTATGTATATATTCGTCGCAGTTTACGCTTAAAAATAGTGAAACAGAGAAATAGCTGTTGGACTGTACTAGTAACCAATTGACTATCTAGTCAACTATACTCGAAAACAAGGATCTCTTGCCACATCATTGACCACTGGTTTCGCCAGAAGCATGATTTCATTTGCATCGGGATCTGGCAGATGTCAGTCTCCACACAGAGCTCTGGAAGGATTTTCCACTCGTTAAAGCATCATTGGTCTAGTGGTAGAATTCGTCGTTGCCATCGACGAGGCCCGTGTTCGATTCACGGATGATGCACTGTTTTTTTGCAAAATCTTCTATTATTCGGGTGGAGTTTCGGTAAGCCGTGTGCATGGCAAAATAAAATTCTTTTTCAATACCCGCGCTGCATAGTCCATATTTCGTCGAGCCCGACTACACGGCTGGACAGTACATTTCTTCACAACCATTGCAAACTCAATTGCCCCACGCTAACATTGCGCTACTTCGGGCGGCCCAGTCGTATTTGTGTGGTTGCACTAAATGCCGATGTGGAGCAACAGAGTGTCCATGGAAAGCATTGATCGATCCTTCCCTTCGTGTCCCACCAGGGATGTATACCCCTGAATTCTTCAGTTTCCCATCATGCGCATTGAGCCAATGGCAAAGAATCGCTGGCGTGAAAGCTCATTCATCCGGAAAAACGAGCAAGTTAGGCGCTAAGCCGGCATTATTGAAAGGTCTAGACCAAGGGGCTGTTGTTCCTGCGTCCAGGCCCTGATCGAATGCCTAGCCCGCTAATGCCGACCATGGGGTCTAAAGGAGACAGTCCTCCCTCCGCACTGGCTGAATCAAAATCCACGGGGGCCAAATGCGGCAAAGCTTCTGTCGGCCCTCATTGCTACCTTTGATTAAAAAATTGTTCCCCTCGGCTTGGCAAGGCTAAGTAACACCGCAGGATGCTTATTCGCCCCAGATCCCTCTCAGCTGGCCCTTCTGCGTCTCTTGGGTGGCGGGGCCATGATCATCTGTCTGTCTCCTATTATTCACCACACCCATCACTTGATGCCGCTATTCTCATGGTGAACATATTGCCGTGACGCTGAAAATGCTGGAGCCAATATTTATCGCGTGAATTTCGCATCTGGTTTGCATCCATAATGAATCGTTCAAGGCGCCAGTTGCTGCCTTGGCTGCTGGTGGCTTCTTTCCTACTTGGTTATTTCTACTTTCCCAGCGACGACCCATCGGACGACGGCGATGACCTTTACACATTGTCAACTTTCCCGGGACCTGATGGACAACAGAGCTTTATCAGCCAGACAAGATACGAACCCAATCCCGATTATCTGTGGAGGAAGCTACCTGTGCGCAACCCCGTCGAGTCCATGGAGACACTCCCGACTGGAAACCCAAAGAAGATGCCACGAGTTCAAGCAAAAGCGTTTAAGTTTTCAAGAGTCACGTCGTGGTTTCAAAGAGACAGGCGCGATGCAGTCAAGGAGGCTTTTACGAGATGCTGGCAGTCTTACCACGACTTGGCTTGGACAACAGATGAGCTCTTCCCTATCAGCGGTCTTTCTACAAATCTGATGGGCGGTTGGGGCGCGACGCTCGTGGACAGTCTCGACACATTGTGGATAATGGATATGCGCAAGGAATTTGACGAGGCAGCGGCTGCGGTGTCCCAAATCAGCTTCGAAGACACACCAGCGCCCGAAATCAATACCTTTGAAATTAATGTTCGCCATCTTGGCGGTCTTTTGGCGGCTTATGATCTCAGCGGTGACCAAAGACTACTAAAAAAGGCCATAGATGTCGGCGACATGCTCTATGCGGCATTCGATACCCCCAACCGGATGCCCATTACGCACTGGGACTTCCACCGCGCTGCGCGTCAGGATGAGCAACTAGCAGAGGAAGTTGCTCTGGCTTCGGAGTTGAGTTCTTTCACTCTGGAATTCACACGACTATCCCAGATTACCAGGGATTCGAAATACTTCGACGCCGCTAATCGAATCATGGTGAGATTTGATCAGCAACAAGACATGTCCCAGCTCTCTGGCATGTGGCCCGGTATTATCAATGCCAGAGAGGAGCATCTCTCCAACGGCAACATCTTCACGCTAGGAGCAGAGGCACATACTCTCTATGAGTATTTGCCCAAGGCGTACGCGCTGCTCGGTGGCCAGGTGCCCATGTATCAGAGGATGTACGAAAAATCAATGCGCACAGCAGCCGGGCACACCTTTTTTCGACCAATGAATCCAGATGAAAAGGACATCCTAGTCTCTGGCACAGTTCACGTCCTGTCGACCCAGAATGGGAAGCTGCGTACACATATGGAATCCTTGGCACACCATCGAACTTGTTCTGCTGCTGGGACCTTCGCTCTTGGCAGCGCGCTCTTCTACACCCCTGTTCACTTGAAGATTGCGCATAAGCTAGTTGATGGTTGCATCTGGGCCTCGCAGAGTATGCCGTTGGGTATCATGCCTGAGCTTTTTGAGACTATCCCATGTGCGTCGCAGACCGACTGTCCGTGGAACGAACGACATTGGAAGCAGGAAGTATTGAAGAAAGTAAACAAGGATGGGGTCGCGGATTTTGATGTTGATTCTTTCATTAAGCAACACCATCTGCCTAAAGGGTTTATCAGCATTCCCGACCCTCACTACAACTTGCGACCGGAAGTTATCGAAAGCATGTTTCTGATGTATCGCATTACCGGCCGCGAAGATCTTCTCGACACCGCCTGGGATATGTTCGAGTCTATTCAGAACAGTACCCAGACCCAACATGCCAATGCTGCTCTTGCCGATGTCACGGCTCCAGACGGCATTCCACCACAGGTCGACTCGATGCAGAGTTTCTGGATGGCACAGACCCTCAAATACTTCTATCTCATGTTCAGCTCTCACGATGTCATCAGTCTTGATGAATATGTTTTCAACACCGAGGGACATCCACTGAAACTTCCAGTATAACCCGACTTTTTGTGAATGTGCTCTTTCATAATGGGTTGTTGATTTTTCACAATCACCTCTTAACATACATCGCTATCACGAATGGTTTTTTTCGTCGGATATGGTTGCATGCGTTTTTTTGGCGGGCCACGAAACTCTACGGGTGTACTATTACTGGGTGTAAATAGTTGACCGGAGTCAAGGCCAGCATATACAAGCATCATGAATTTTCATTCTCTTTGGAACATTTACCATGAGGTTCAGTAGTAGGTGGATATTCTATCTAGGTTCGCCTGGATCAATCTCAAAGTAACATTTGTCCCTACCTGCTTTTGATTGTTTGTACTTTCGATGTTAATCTTGTAGTTGCTGAAGCAAATTTCCTCTGATAAATCTGATTATTTATCTTCTCCCCTTTCCAGACGTTTGTTCAAGTAGTCAGCAAAATCCCGGCCAACCTCGGGGAATTCGCTTAATAACTCTCGGCAAATCATGAAATCACCGAGCGATGACTTGAATACACAACAAAGCTGTCTCCTATCCCCTTAACAATCCGGAAATGGACGACAGTCGAAGCCCGTCATCTATCCCACGCAAGCGCCGACGCCCGGCCTTGTCCTGCGAGCAGTGCCGTCGACGCAAAGTGCGTTGCGACCGTGAGATGCCTTGCGGGCCATGTTCGAAGACTCACGACGCGTCCGCATGCTCTTATGTCTATGAAGGGAAAACTGCTTTGGAATCACGAACTAAAAAATTCATTTCAAATGAGAATGAGCCCACATCTCGGCTTTCGAGCTCCCAGGGACCTTCCACTGGAGCCGATATACTCCCTAATGGATCCCGGATGACACAGCTGGAGCGAAGTATTAAGCTGCTTCAAGAGCGAGTCCAGGGCCTCGAAAATAAGACCCAGGGTGGGAACGGTCCCACGCGTTTATTTCCAGCAGATGGCAGGAATGACGGGGCTCAAGATGTTAATGAGCTTCATGATCGTGTCACACGGTTGGAGCAGCAACTAGACAACAAGACTAAAACATCCGAAACGCTGATTCCTTCATTGAATCCATATCTCAAAATCTGCGGCGACAGATCAAAGACCTTTGGAACTACACATTGGGCGCAAGCGTTTCAACGCGTATGTCATCCTTTCATTCCACAAAAGGCCTTGAGTCGCTTAACTATAAAGATGCAGCTCTATCAAATACGCCAAATCCGTTTACTGTCCCGTGATTCAGAGTCCCATCCCAGTGAAATTGGTAAAGGTCTCAGGACCGCGCGGTCGCTCAGGCAAACCATCAAAGGTTGGCAAGCACCGCGGCTTCAGGACCCAGCTCCGCACTTGTTGCGCGACTTGCCTCCGAGAGAAATATGCGATCAACTTGTACGCCACTATATGCGGACCCTCGAATTGATTTATCGTGTGTTACATGTCCCTTCTTTCTATCAAGACTACGGTCGCTTTTGGGAACAACCGCACTCGGCCTCGACTGCCTTCCTTCTCAAGCTTCTCCTGATACTTACCATTGGATCTATCTTTCACTGCGAAGAAGGACCATGTAATTCTCTCGGTCTACCGATTCGTCGCTGGATATATGCAGCGCATTGGTGGCTGACGGGACCGTCGGAGAAGGAGGCAGGAAACCTGGAAGGATTGCAGGTCCATTGTTTCTTGAATCTCTGTCGGCAAACACATGCTATAAACAAAGAAAGCAACTGGGCATCCGCAGGTTCACTTCTGCGACTGGCTATCAACCAAGGGCTAAACCGCGACCCCAAGCATTTCCCGTCGTTGTCGGCCTTTGATGGCGAGATGAGGCGACGTGTATGGGGCACAGTCCTGGAGTTGAATTTGCAGCTTTCACTTGATACAGCGATGCCACCGCTGCTAACGAAAGATGACTTCGACACCGAGCCGCCATCAAACCTAGACGATGAAGACTTTGACAAGACAACAATCACTCTGCCAGATACAAGACCTATCGACAGCTATACTCACTCGTCTATGCAGATTCTCCTTCTGCAATCGTTTACTACCCGCCTGCGAATTGCGAAGATCATTAATCAGTGCAACATCAAGCAGTCATATGAAACCTGTATGGCTCTTGATGCAGAGTTGAACACATCCTGCAAGGAAATGACGGTCCTGTTCCATAAATATCTAGTTCACACTCCCAGGCGCAGACTTGGCCCAACTCCGTTTCATCATCGACTCTTGGACACATTGCTGCGGAGATTTCTGCTGAGTCTCCACCGTCCATTCACGGTTCAAGCTCTTGAGGACCCGCGATTCTACTTGTCTCGAAAGCTGAGCCTTGAGTCTGCAATGGCGACAGCTTCATACACAGAGTTTCCTGATAATCCACAAAATGAGTGGCAGCAAGATGTTTATCGTCTCAGCCTTTCTGGTGCTGGCCTTTTCAAATTTCATCTGTCTTTGGATGTCATTGTTGTCATTGGCCTGGAAGTTACCACTCAAATAGCAGAGGAGCTTTCCCGGAAGCCTTCCGAGTCTGCCGTGCTACCTCCAAACGCAGTGGACCAGATGGCCCAAACCGCTCGCGCTCCGCTAATACAAGCACTCGAGTTTATTCTCGAGCAGCTTCATCAGGGAATTGCTGCTGGCATTCCAAGCCTGAAGCGATATTGTCTTCTGGTCGGCATCCTTGCGCAAGTTCGTACCATGCATGGCGGAGACCAAGCTGTGCAAGCGAAGATCAGTGAAGCATTTTTGGAGAGTCTAGAGGAGTGTCGCAGGCTACTTCAACAGTATATCTCGGATAGCTCTCATCCATCTTCATTGGATGGTAATCTGCAGGATATGCCTCAGGGAGTGAATACGTGGACCCCAGAGAGTGTGATGGTGTCAAGCCTTAGCTCGGAATTTACGGTACGATACTATTTCAATATGGAGATTCACTTTATTACTTGATTTCTTCTGGCTAATATCCGTTTTCAGGGCCCGGATCCTGCTTTTGATGCGCTAGGCTTTTGGGACCTCTCTCCATTCATGAATAGCGAGGCTTTCTTTCCTTCAGAGCTGTTAGAGAATCCGGATAAAGGCACGGGCGAATGAACCAGTCGATAATCAATAGGCTGGCGTATCCTTTAAACCAAATATTAGCTTAGGTCCGACAAAACGTGGGATGTTTCCTAGTTCATCTAGCTTCAGTGCTCAATTGTGGGGTCAGTGACATTCTCAGCCCATGGAGCAAGGGTAAATTCTTGTGAGATCCGATACATATCTGTTGGAAATCGTACAGCCAATTGGTGGGTTGCGATTAACAAACCAGGGCGGAAAACTAAGCGACGGCAGCAGAAGGATCTCTCGGTCTGTTAGATGATTGGTGTATGTTAAGCGACGGTCGCAGGCACGGAGGCGGGATCTGTGCTTGGATAAAGCGAGCCAGCAGGTATTATGCAGAGCAGACCAAAAATAAAGGTGTTCGAATTCGGCACTGATAGTGGATCTTCGGATGTGGGGTAGCTGTATGCAGTCCTGGCTGTGAATTGGCCCTTTATGCAGGGACTTATAAACGATAGGAATCAGCGAGAGTATTATATAAAGAGGATCCTGACGATGCTCTGATGCGGAGAGTCGTTGATAAAGGCCTAACACGGAGAATCCAACTTCGACTATGGCGCACCTTCTTGACTTTTCGATATATCAATACCTTAGTGTCTTTCTTCTCGTAGGTCGACCTCGCAAGCATTGCAGTAAGGAAAGGGTAGCTGACCTGACAGGCCTGGATCGTCCAATGTATTTATCGGTTGAACTTCCATAAACTCAGCCAGTTTCCTGGCCCCAGATTTGCGGCATGTTCGTCGTTCTACTTTCTGTACTGGATTTACCTCGGTCGGTTTCCAGAGCAAAGCGAGCGCCTGTTTGAGCAGTATGGAACCGACGTTTTGCGCGTTGCTCCAAATCAACTTGTCTTCCGCGATCCACAGTCGCTGAAAGATGTTGTGGGACGCACCGACGTTTATCGCGGCGACTTTGCTTTGCGCGTTATTGGCTTCACTGGAAAGAATGTCAGCAATATCCGTGATCCAGTTGCGCATCGACGCAAAAGAAGACTCATGAACCCCGGGTTCTCCAATATTGCACTCGCCAAGCAGGAACCGCGCATCATTGCGCCGCTGGTTGACAAGCTAGTCGAACGGATTGCTGAGAGGCAGGGTCAGTCGATTAAGATCTCCGACTACTTCGACTGCGCGACCTCAGATATTATTGGCAAGCTCTCCTTTGGAGCGGATTTCGAGATGCTGGACCGTGTGGACGACCATCCATTTTTACATGTGCTCCCCAATGCCTTGCGGATGTCAGTCATTGCGCAATGTATTCCGGAGGTGTACCGGTTCGTCTCGTGGATGTTCCGGGTTGGACCATCATTCGTCGTTCCTCCAACTTTCCGTGGTGTCGCCGACTTTGCAAAAAAGCACACTCAAGAACGAGAAAAGAGACAGCGGCTGGGAGAGCAAGCCGAAGAAGACGATATCATGAGTATCATCATCAATGGCACGGAGAAAATGAAAGCCCAGGATCCCAGTCTTGCGACTGATTCGCACGAACTACTTGGCGAAGCAACCACGCTGGTTACTGGCGGCGGAGACACGGTAGCCACGGCGCTGACGATGTCGATGTGGAATCTTGGGCAGAACCCTGCCATCTACAAGCAATTGACAGAGCAACTGCGGACTACTTTTATTCACTATGAGGACATTGAATCAAAGGCGGTTGCGGCGCAGGTACCGTTAGTTGACGCAGTCCTCAATGAGTCCATGCGTCTCAATCCAGTGCTACCAGGGCCCATGTGGCGGCGAACAGACAATCCAATCCCTGTTGCTGGATACGCCGTGCCGGGCGGAACGGAGATAGGCGTGATGCGGCTATCCGTTTTTCAACACCCAGACTCATTCCATAGGCCCAAGGAATTTGTGCCCGCGCGGTGGATGGAAGATCTAGGCGACAACCTGGATGCCTTTCAGCCATTCGGGGTTGGACCGCGCACGTGCATCGGCCGGTACATCGCGATGGTGGAGATGCGCTTGATCCTTGCGCGGCTGTTGTGGAAATTTGACTGGGAACTGGTTACGACACAGTATGACAACCCAGAGTATGTGGTTTTGTACCGAGCGCCCTTGATGATGAAGGTCCAGAAGCGTGGGGCTTGAAGAGAAGAGCTATGGCCCATGAACATGGTTGATCGGCAGGCCAGGATCATTTCGAGAATTGTTCGGGGACATTCGGCGGCTTTGTCATGTATCTAGCTTTATTTGTACCCTGGAGTTCCATGGGTACTCGAGAGACAAACCAAAAAGCTAAACAGGGAGGTCGGCCGAGACATATCCACAAATCATTATTTTAATCATACCAGCTGATACTGAGAACAGTAGCAAAGGTTTCCCCGGATAAAGATAGAGGAGCGACAAAAGACTACCTTACGCACGGGGCTATTATTCTTGCAGTCATTGTGGAAGGAACCGCCGTCATGGCCACATGGGAGGTCGATCCGATGGGAGCGATGTGGCGTGGCCGGTGGAGAACGAGACATAATTAGTTAGGGCACACGTGCGTCGAGAGGCTACAATGAGTCGCGGAGCATACACTCCCCTGTCGATAGGCTGTCACTATCAACGACGCAGTTGTGTTCAGCTGCCCCTCTGTCAATATAAGTGTCATCCTCCAAACATGCTATTGCTCCCGGCCGATCGCCTGTCTGGGATCACGTCTGTTCAAATGTGCTCCCACCGGTCCTTGAATCATAGAAATTCAAGGCCATGAGCCACTATCCTCAAGACATCGAGGAGTGGCTTGACTCTCCCCGCCGTCAGAGCGCCGTATCCACGTCGACGGGGGATTCGGCGTCTACCAGTATTCTCTTTTCAAGTCCGGCCACCTCCCCTGGCTCCAGATCGCGGAAACAGTCCTGGCAGCTGTACGACGATGTTGTTCGACTCGAGTTGAACCCATCCGTGACAATGTAGGTGTTTAGTCGCAAGCCCAACGATAGGCTCTCGCTGATCTGTTGTAGCTCTTTTATGAAGAACGGACAGCTATTCAAGCTACGATACACTTTTATCGATGTTTGCAAAGACGCGACCGGGTCACTGAAATGCCTGGAGCTGGGAGGAGGCGTGGGCCAGCAATCGCCTTTTGTGCATGCCTGTACAGTGCCCTCCAGAAGAAAAGTCTTCCGAGTCAGAGTTAACGCTGCCTCAATCTAGTCCACAATACAAAACTACCCGTACCACATCTCGAGCATCCCAAGATGCCCAATGAGCCACCTATGCGCGTTAGCTTTCTTGAGCAACAGACCGTCCAAGCGGCTTATACGCTGTTCATGACCCAGTTGTCATATACCTTTGAATCATGGGATGGTATGAATTCCACCTCGAGAATGATCCGTGCCATCGCTCACAACCCACAGACTGCGTCCAATTCCAGGAATTACTACTCGGATCCAAACTGATGCTCATTGCGGGTATCGCGGAGGCCAAGTCCAAGGGCCGTGGGGAGGAATGCATCAGCCAAAATATCCGGATCCTGCGCGGACACAATAATAAACGGGTAATGCTTTTCTTCGCCAACTCCCAACGAAAGGAGCTAAAGCGATATGTCTCGATTCCTCGTACGTGTTCCTCCTTGAGAATCATTTCAGGTGCCTATATTTACAAACGTCCAGTCAACTGTATCGAGCATGTTAAGCCCGGCAAAAAGGCCGGCCGCCCGGTGGTCTTGGATCTGAATCCGAACTTCGACATTCTAGAGCAGATGCGAGTTTTGCAAATTCAGTTTCTGGATGACAATGGTCAGTAATCCTACTCTTGGCAAGTGATGACTTGCGCTTATTCTTTCCCAGACAGAAAACACTTCTGCCAGCTGCTGTCGCCCGACCTGACGATTGGATGATTCGTGGTGGGCTTTTGTCACGATAGAATTGCATTGTGGAGTTTATGTTTTGTTTTTTCGAGGGGATTAGATACCAGGGTACGCCGTATTAAATAATTTATAGACTGTGATTTCTTCTCTGCCAATCCACCCGGGGAGCGACAGCACGATGTGGACTCGTACTTGGCGACTCTCCGTGGTGCCCCACAGGCGTGCTCGGAGTTCGGGTGTTGATTGGCTTTGGGTGTTGAGTGGCAGCCGCATTAGCCTTCAGCCTGTGATTGGAGGTGCCCGTCCTCCCTCTACCAATCGCCATTTATCGCTCGGAAGTTCATAATTCTGGAACACCCCTCTCAGCGGTTTTTCTGCTTGATAAGATCCAGATCGGGTCCCGCAGGAATGCGCCGTTTTGTCCCTGAGACTCCTTGAGGATTCTCTTCACCATGGGTAAGTTCCATGCAAGGTTGTATCAAACCGACCGTGCGCGGGACTTTGATCATGAACAGGTATGCGACTTGGATAATCGGAATGGAATTTATGCTGACCCTGGCAGGATCGATATGTTCGCATGCGCCAAATCTACGAGACCATCGACCGGCAGGGCTATCAATGGATTGTCGTGCTGGTCGCTGGTCTCGGTTTCTTCCTAGACGGATACACAGTGAGTTTACCGCTTTGGAGCCAGTGGAATTTGACCAGAAACGGCTGCTGATAGCTGGGGGCAGCTCTTTGCTAGCAATATGGCCCTCCCCATGGTCTCCTATGTCTACTGGAGAGAGGAAACCTCGTCCGTGAGGCTGACCTGGATCAACATTGCCACCCTCGCTGGAACACTCCTCGGCCAAGTGATGTTCGGGTTTTTGGCCGACAAGTACGGACGCAAGAAGATGTACGGAGTGGAACTTGTGCTACTCATCACCGCTACCGTCGGTGTGGTCATGTCCTCTACAGGGTATAATGGAAGCATGGATGTCTATACGTGGCTGATTTGGTGGAGGGTTCTAGTCGGCATCGGAGTCGGTGCTGACTATCCTCTCAGCGCGGTTATCACATCTGAGTATGCTGCTCCCTAATCCATTCTATTGCGATACTCACGAAATCCACAGGTTCGCTCCCACGAAACACCGCGCGCGTATGATGGCTTCGGTCTTTTTTATGCAACCACTAGGACAGATCGCAGGAAATCTTGTCTCCCTAGTTGTGATTGCCGCCACTCGTCACAACGGCGACGCCGCCGACATTGCTCGTAGCGTCGACAGCATGTGGCGCTGGGTTCTTGGGATTGGTGTTGTTCCAGGCGCCATCGCCACGCTTTTCCGATTTGCCATCCCCGAGAGTCCCCGGTATCTTCTCGACATTGAGGATGATCCAGTCACGGCTGAATTCGACGCAACTACGCTGTTCACTGAGCCGCCCATGAGCCCTTCCATTGAATCCGCCAGTTGGGAAACAGGAAGCAACATCCAGCTTCCAGCTGCCTGTTCGATGGGGAGTCCGTCCGTTAACGAGGATGATAACTCTCACGAGTATGGGCGTCCACCACCAGCAACCCTCAATTCGCACTGGCGCCTCGCCCGGTCAGATATCGTGCGGTATTTCTGGACCGAGGGAAACTGGCGCAGCCTGGCGGGCACATCAATTGCCTGGCTTCTGCTCGATTTTGGGTTTTATGGAATCGGTCTCTCAAGTCCCCAGTTTCTTGCCAAAACCTGGGGCTCCCTTCGTATCAACAGCGAGTCCCCATACTGGATGACGGATGACCGGCCCGGTGCCAACATCTACCAGATGTTTTTGGATACGTCAATCCGCGGCTTAGTTATCCTCAATATCGGCAGCTTCGTCGGTGGTCTTCTGTTGATACTCCTCGTGAACCGCCTTGATCGCGTGGCATTGCAGAAGTATATGTTCCTTGCTCTTGCAGCCTTGTTCATAGCCCTTGGCACTCTGTTTATTACATTGTACCAAGGACCGCCTGCCGTGATAGCGCTCTATATCATTGGACAGGCACTATTCAACCTGGGTATATTCACCTTCCATTGACTCCAAATAACCAGCTAACATCATCAGGCCCCAACGCTACAACTTACATGATCCCCGCCGAGATCTTCCCTACCCGTTACCGGGCGACCTGCCATGGTCTCAGCGCTGGTGCTGGTAAACTGGGCTCCATCCTTGTCCAGATCTTTTCTGCTTATTATCGCTTTGGCACTGGCGCCGGGCCCGAACAGACTCGTCGCCACGGCTGGATACTCATCGTATTCAGCGCGTGTATGATTATCGGTGCGGCCGTGACGCACTTTTGGATCCCGCCAATCCAGCATAAAGGTAGTCGAGCCAAGATCTGGGGCGGCCAGCCTGAGACATTGGAGACGCTCTCACTCGGGCGAATGGGGCGGCAGAGTCGTGACGCGGCTGTTCGCAAGCGTTCGGCGCGCGGTCGGGCATTTTCAATTAGCAGGTAACCTCTTGCTTTGTTCTTTCCTTAACTTTCTTTTGAATTGGGTTATGTTCATGGGATTTGTGGGGTCCGGATTGGTTCCCTGCCGGGTCAAACAATAAAGTGATTTGGCCGAATCTGTATATAAGAACTGGCTGGTTAACATGGTCGACGATATATATAATAAGCAATAGATACCCCTTTTCTCTTCTAATTTAAATCCCAGTGTTTGCGAAGAGTGGAACTACATCGTCACGGTTGGTTGGGGGGGGAGGGGCTGGCTTCTCAATGTGGATCCCGCAGATGTAGGTAGGGCACGGATTTTAGCTGAGAGCTGGAAATGAAGACCATATAAGATAGAATTGTTCTCTCGCGCGTCTTCCGCGGCTCTACGGATGCCGCTTTATTCGAGGACTTCATTGATGAGCTTGTTTAGCACTGCGGAAGTTGGCTGGAGCCAAAATCTGACCTTGTCATAGACAATGTCTCGTTTCATCACTGCAGGCGCATTCAGTAGATGTGTTGCAGCCACAGGAGTAAATCTCGTTTATCTGCCACCCTACTCACCGGACCTAAACCCTGTTGAAGAGTTTTTCGCCGAACTCAAGGGGTTCGTGAAACGAAAATGGGGCTACTACGAAGAAGACCCCGATAGAGGACTTTTTTTCCCCTCCAATGGTTCATTGATAAGGTCCTTGCAAAAGAAGACAGTGCTAGAAGACATTTTCGGCATGCAAGGAGAAGAGTGGTACTTTTGTTAGTCATTTTTTAACCACAAGCGAGCTTTGGGCTTGGTATGCGTTAGAATGGCGAGCGGGAAAACAAATACATAAAGGATAAGGAAAAAAAAAAGGTCAACGACCGGCTAGAGCTCTTCCAGCAATGGATGCTGAAGATGACCAGATGCCCTGACCACAATTTTTGCGCTTTCGAGCACCCTTTCTTTGCTGTTGCCTCTAATTTCTTGTCCTAAGAAGGCACCATGGGTATCCTCAAAGTCGATGTCTTTGATGGCTTTCCAAATATTATGTATCTCGTCTGGGGGAAGGGGGATCTGTAATAAAGTAAGATAAGTGTAAAAGGCTCGAAAGGATTGCAACCCACATAATTTGGAAAGGACCACATAAATGTAAAAGAAGCGGTGCCGGGGAGGCGATCAACATGGTAAAGTCCACTCGGAACAATCAAAATTGTGTCGGCAATGAATAACTTTTTAGTAGACTTCCACCATAGAACGGAACTCCCGGGGAAATGCCCTCCAGTCTTGATCACCGTTAGATCTGACCCATGTTGAATTTCACTGGGGCCCTGAGAACAAGGGAGAGGGAGCTTGTCTCCTTTCCAAAGTTTCAATCGATAACCGTCACCCCTGTTTCCAAGCCACTGCTCATCCTCTGCAGATATAAATAGATCACAATTGAAGACCTCGGCCCATTGAATACTGGTGGAGAAGTAGTGCGGATGCGAAATCACAATAGCCTGGATTCCGCCTAGTGAGTTCACATGATGAACCGTTTGATCGTCGAGATAAGTAATGCAATCCCACAGAACGTTCCCAGACGTAGCGCCACCTAGACAAAGGAAAGCCCTTTGACCGATAGCCAGCTTTGGGACAGTACGTATAGTAATTAAGTTGGGATTATGTTCGTCAGCGGAGAAGACGTTCCGATAATTCTCCGTCGATGAGTGTAAGCTTCTCAGTGATGTCCACGATTGGCTGAGATTCAAGTTAGCTCCAAGTTAACTAGCAAAGGAAAGAGGTTATTCACCCGGTAGGAGGTACGTATTGACGTGGATCGTCACAGATCTTGCATGATTTCAATCCTGCACTAACGTCGTACTGAACACCACAAGTAGAGCAAATCAAAAGATCTAGCGTCGAAAATGCCATGCTGGCGGATAGTAATGGGAGACATCGAACTCACAACCCACGGAAAGAAAGACAATAAATATGGGGTAATGACGTCTGTGGCACGTGAATAGGTTATTGAGGGCACGCTTGCTTACGAACTCGCCGAGTCTAGATCTTAATCTCCTCGATTGTGGGCGTACAAGATCGAACCATGGTTGAATGACCCTAGGATCTTCGCATTTTGCCCTCTAATAATTGTATTGAGGAGAAATCTGCAAAGTTGATCGCAGCGCTTAGTATACTTATGCACCCATTTAGTTCTGATGGTCTGACCTACCCGCTTAGTTATTTGAATATAGTTAGTTGACTATCTTTCGCTTGCCTATTTGAAGGCCATTTGTATTGTCGCTGTGTTCCTCCTGAGGGAGTATCTATGAAAGATTTCAGTACCCGTGACCTCCGGGCTTTCAATTAATCAATGTACAATCTCGACGAGGATAAGAGAATAATTCCAAGAATGAAAAGTCGACCATATGCCATCAGTTCCGTGGTACAACATTTCAATAGACACGATGCAATTAACTAAACATAAGGATCAAATGCATCCTTGGTTGTTCCGAGTCCCTTTTTCCCTATGTTACGAGGAGGGTCATAGAAGGGATTCTCCCCGCCCTCGTATAAGAAATCGTCCACCGCCTTTCCGAACCAAACAGCACCTCCAAGAGGAAAAAAACCTCCCTCAGTGCCGATAACAACGTTTGGTCGACGACCTGGCCAAAGACTCTTTTCCCGGATCCTTGTGCGCAATTCTGCAAGGAAAGTATGCCAAACGTTGCCATTGTCAACGAATACCAGAAAGCTCAATTTCACAGACCGAAGCGTGTCAGGTAATTTCGAAAGGAATGTGATAAGATCAGCCTGGCTAACTATGAAACGCGATAATGCAAAATGACGAAGCTTGGACCACTTCTCGATAGGGAATATGCTCTCTAACGACACAGGGACGGTGTTAATCGGTGGCTGTTTCCACTCGAGATAACCATTCAATCCTGCCGAGTAGAAGGTGAACTCCTCCAAGTCGGTCATGCTGCTTAGTGTTTCGCGAAGCCTTCCGTTGCGGAAGGTCTTCCAGTTCTCCGTGGGTCCTCTTCCGCCAAACATTAGAGGGAGATCTAGGCGACGAAACCCTGGTTTCTTCAAGACTGTCAGAAAATGGTTGTATTCCACGCAAGGCTCATCGAATATCGTGCAGTTGATCCCTGTGAAGAGTTGTCGAGCATCTAGAGCCAGTTCCACCACATTGTGTTTCCGTTGTGCAAGGGCGCGCGTTGTAATGCGGAATGCGTGGTACTTCTCTCTGTGCCTTTCATCGACTCTTTGCCAGGGAAATGCGATCACATCCTCCGGCTCTTCGGTGGTTGAGGTTGGCCATCCGCGGGGGATGGGATAGTTGAATCCTTGCGGGAATGCTCGAATCATAGGAGTTTGGTATAATGGAGTAAACGGGACACCGTGGGCTGCGGGCGTAACGGTCACTCTTTTCAGTGCAGAGAACCGTTCAAGTCCGTAGAGAAACGCCTCCTCGTCGTAGTTTCCAGCTAAAACATCGGCTTGTTTGCGGAGCAACCCCCGGTAAATCGCCCAACACTCGTTCATTGAGAGTCCAGCCGAACCTAGCTGTTTCTCATTTTTGAATTTCTGATGCCAAGACTCCGTCATGTTGAGCTTGCGTCGCCGAAAGAAAATATCTTCAATATTTGCAACACATGCGGTCTTGAACCAGAGTGGACAATTTTGCCCGTGGAAATTTTCACTGTTCCTCAATTGATAGACAGGATCGCCATCCTCGTCGTCTTCCCTGTCACCATAGTCGAAGTCGCTCTCGTAAGATTCCCAGTCTGGCGGCCCGCCGTAGCCCTCAAGTTCACCGCGACGTCGTCTCGATTCGAACGACTCCTCCGTCTCGTTATCACTTACATCCGAGTTTGGCAGGTATATCCCGCGCGCAGAATCGATATCTCCCCCAGGGCCCCTGGCAAATCGCGCATCATCCCAAATGATCTCTGTAATCTTATGTCGGAATTTCTCGTGATCTGCGATCGCGCGGAAGACCTTGATGTTCAAGGGATTCGCCGACAAACACGCTCGCTGCAGTCTGAGCTCCACCGAATCGCAACATTGTTTAGACACAAGGCGGAGAGTTTTGATATCGCGATTACGTAGATATGATAATATTGCACGCCAGAGCTCCACGGGGAGGTCATAGAATTGATGGGAATTCGACATCATGTTGTGCTGGTGCACGGAGGTCAGTGGGAGAGATGGAGGGGAAAAGTGGGTTGACAAAAAGCCATCAGATAGTGATAGTCGGGAGGCGACAGACCCAATTTAAGACTAAAATCTGCCCCGATCTGCATCACCCTGTTACGCCCCGTCGGAAGAAAGAGACGAAAACTTCATAAGAAGAGACGCGAGGGAAAAACAAAGAATCGAGTATTTCTTTGTTGATAGTGTCTGACTAAGTGGATCCTTGATTGGCCACTCATCACCTGACGCAGGATGTGGGAATGTGGTCAAAATCAACAAGATAGAAGATGTCTGGCATTCTGAATATAATCGAGCTATCTCTTTAACAACACAGAACGCATAGTAAGCGAAATGAGCGCACAATGCCAAGAATGTCAAAAAACAAAAGCAGTTTAGCGTTGCATAACTTTTATGGATCTATCCTGGAATCCCGACAGATAGTTACAGTAATCACCACCTTAGGCATTAACCTTCCTAATTTGGACATCTTTCACCTCATTTCTACCATTCTGACAACCACAACGCCCACAATGGTCTAGAAGATATTATATAAAATTTCCCAGGCGCACTCAGGCTATTATTTATAGGTTCTATACGAAAAGGTATTATTTACAATCTCGAGGGCGAGATTTTGAGGCAGTTGGGGAGGATGTGAGATCGGGAATCGTCTTACAGAGCTCTTACGGCTCAAGTGTGGTCACATGATCGACACCTTCTGCATTTAATTGCTGCTCCACTAGTGATTTTACAATACAACACTCATTTCGTCTTACTCTCAGTGTTTAGTGTATGCTCAGTGACATTGGATGCTCACTGATTCCTTAGTAACGCTCATTGTCCAACCCGGGAGTGCTCATGATCTGCTTAGTTCGCAGTAGACTATAGCTACCTAAATGGAACAAGCGCCTAAAGGGTCGTTTATTGTACGATGGGTAGTCTGTTGATATCCCTGTCCTACCCTCATTCTCTCGAGTCATCCAGCTCCCCTTGAAAAAAATCCAAAAAAATAAATAAAAAAATAAATGACAATTTCCTAGCGTTATGACTAGGGGTGATAGGAAAAGCGGAGAACACACTCTATTTCAGGATATCGCGATGAAATATCCCTCTTCTTCGATCATGTGAAGCGGCACAAGCTGAGAATCTCAGATTATAAAAGGTGATCATTGTCTAACTTCCAAGTTTAATACCTCAAACTCACAATCCGTGCACTTTATACTGAACTACCTCATTTGAGATACATTCTCTAAGTTGTGTCTCACTAATCGGACATCGTATCTGCTTACAGGGCGAAAAGTATTTTTCGCTAGGCGCGGAGATAGAGCTAAAGAAATCAACAGCCGGCAATGACAGAAGCGCAAGACTAACAGTACCCTTAGTCATTCGGCTAACCTCAAAGATTCGATTTTCAGGGAGCCTCAGGAGCACTCGCTAGGATTTGTTCCGGGCCGAACAACCGCGGCCCGAGGGTTGCTGAGGCGGATTTATTTATATATACCAACGTATGTATATATAATATATATGTTTGAAACAGAACAGAAGCCAGAGTACAAAGACCAGCATTTTGATTGATCTCTAGGTTTTTTTTTTTTAAAAAAAAAAGTAAAAATGAATTTTGACATCTCCGAAGACCTTCAAACCCACCTCCATTCCCTCGACAAATTTATACGGGATACAATCCTCCCTCTTCAACATTCCGACGGCAATGTCCGATTCTTCGACCACCGCCGCGAATACTCCCGTACCGACTAGGCCAACGGTGGCCTTCCTTCAAAAGAATGGGAGGACCTTTTAGGTATAGCGCGTCTCAATCGGCTTTACATCTAACTAACACTATTTAGCACGGGCCCGCATCCTCGCCGACGAAGCAGGCTTCTACCGCTTCGCCCTCCCCAAAATCTACGGGGGCCAATCACATCCCCAGACCAACGTGTGGATGTCTAGCATTCGCTTCTACATGGCCTCACACCCACTCTATGGTGGAGGACTTGGTCTGGCTAACGACCTCCAAAACAAGCATAGCATCGTAGGAGACTTGCCGGACGTCCATATGATTCACCACTTTGGAACAGACCAGCAACGCCGCAAGCTCATCCCGGCTCGTATCAGTGGCGACTTCCGAGCGACATTTGGTCTCACAGAGCCTAACCATGGCAGCGATGCGACTTTCATGTCGACGGTCGCCAAACCTACTACTGAAGGGTTTGAAATCATTGGCTCTAAGAAATGGCAGACTAGTGCCCACAACTGCACACATTTAATCATCTTCGCACGCACATCCGGCAAACCTGGCTCAGCAAAAGGAATTACAGCTTTTCTAGTCCCCCGCGACACATGAGGAGTGAAGATATCTTCCTTTGAATGGACCCTCAACATGCCCACTGACCACGCCACCGTCCAGCTAGACCACGTCCGTATACCTAGATCCGCCATTCTCGGTGCCCTGGACGCCGGCCTCGCAATAGCCCAAACTTTTGTGCACGAGAATCGCATCCGTCATGCAGCTAGTTCCTATGGCGCTGCAAAATATTGTCTTAAGCGTAGCATTTCGCGCACGCGTTCCCGCAAGATCTAGGGCGAAGGCCGCACGCTTGCGGATAACCAGGTCGTCCAATTTCCCGTCGTGGAATTAATGACGCAAGTCGAGATGTTGAAACTGTTGATTCTCAAAACAAGTTGGGAAATGGATCAGGTCGTGGCAAGCGGGTCGTCCGCTCCATAGGTCCAGATCGAGAAGACATTGAGTGACAAAGTCGCTATGTGTAATTTCTGGGCGAATCGGTTGTGCTGCCAGGCTGCTGATTTGGCAATCCAGGTATTTTCCAATCCATGATTTGATTGTTGACTATAGCCGTGTTCATTAACTTGGAAATGCTGATGATGTAGATTTACGGGCTACTCCAGGCACTACCCCTTTGAACACATCTATCGCCACTTCAGACGGTATCGAATTACTGAAGGGTCAGAGGAGATCCAGATGCGAAAGGTTGCAGCGTATCTGTTTGGGTTTGGGGGGAAGAGTACCCAGAAGGAAAAGTTGTAGGTGCCTTATCATTGGGTTTGCCTGTGGTTTCAGATTTAGGCAACCATTGAAGCATAGAAAGTCTCCATCGGGTGCAATAAATTGAATTTATATCATGCTTGAAAAGTGGTGTACAATTATGTACAATTATGATGGTCTTCGCAACGACACTTTCATGTAGTCGCCAGGTTCACCCTGAAAATCGAGCCCAACCTTTGTCACGTCATTGTACGTAGTGTCGTTGGTGAAATACCAGTAGTTTATAGTTGACAAGAACAAGACAGCACCCTCATACCATTTGCCGGGAAGATTTCCTGGGATATTCCCGGATATGTTACCTTGGTAGTATGACATGGCCCCCCACATCGTTTTGGACGCAGCATCTTTGATAGATTCTGTTGTTTGGATGGAGTAACAATCAGCAAAATGAACGAAGTCATAACTGGGCAGTCCTCAATCAAAAAGGAGGCCGGAGAAGGGTAAAGCACACTTACGCTCATTTTTAATGTCTATCTCGATCGCACGCATTCCCGGAACAAGGCATAGCGTTGTCCATAACGCTGCCAATGCTTTTAGAGTTCGCATAGCGGCTCGAAGGGCATAGAACAATAGCACTGCAAAGAAAGCTTAGAGCCAAGTAATAATGCAGGTTCCATATATCAACGCCGAGAAGTCCCTGAACCTCCCCGCACTTGTGGGCTGTTACTACTTTTAAGGGGCCGGGCGCAAGGCTGTCTTGCAACGCTACCGACCTGATCTGCGCTGTAAGAATAGGCACCTACGTTACTTGATTACAGTAATTCACGAGGCTAGCAAACCCGAAAGTATTGAATTTGCGTAGTTCAAACAGTGTTCCTGCTTCCTGACATTATTTTGTCCCTTATATTAACGATATGTTCTTGATTCTTCGATTCAGAAATGCCACTCCTGGAGAGAACTGATCGCTGCCTCTGTAAACTAGTTGTTACAATTACAAAACCGCTAAATAACTAGATAAGACGTGGTACACGAGATTAGTATGAGTACTTAATAGAATTGATAGTAATAAGCAATGCGTCTAACACACGAGTTATCCCTGAAGAGCCTCTTGTGCTTGTAATCAGGCATTATAGTCCTGTGAGATCAGGAACATCTTTAAAGAGCTCTTACAGATCACGAGTAGCCAGTGATCGCCCCGACTGTATTTAATTACCTGGCTGATCTATGATGTGGCTAGGGAGCTAGGGAGGGCGGGAAATCTTGAATTTTCGGAAGTTTTGAATTACTTCTAGATATTTCTCTTCACTCCGTTTAAAGCAGATTAATAGTTTACAGAGCGTCGTAGATAAACAAAATTTGGGGAAACAATAGGGTATAGTAGTAAAATATTATTTTCACCCCGTGTCTCGCTCCTGCGCTGTGAAGAAGCAAGCATAAATCTTTATGGATATGGCCTTCATTTGGAAACCCTTTTCCGAATCCTAGCGGGTATCTTCCCATCTGGATGCATCACCCCAAACATGAAATACTTCAAATCGGGCTGAATTCTAGGTTCCTCATCAATCAATAGCTCAATTTCGAACGCCGTTAGGAACATTGCCATCGTTACGATCATGGCCTTCTTCGAGAAATGCCGCCCAGGACACATTCGCGTGCCTCCACCGTAGGGGATCCAAGATCCCGCCGTGCCATCGAGGGAGAAGGTTGGTTCCGAGATCGTCGAGGCTTGCGATTTCTTTTCCTGTTGCTGTGCAATGGTTCGTAGAACCGGACCGCTGTTGGGATTATCCGGGTACAGAATGAACCGCTCTGGCCAGAATTCATTCACGGGATGTGGGTCGTCAATGTTGCCTTGGTTCCAGACGGATTGGTCGCGCGCGGTGTTGTAGGTGGATACAATGATCTGCTCACCTTCCTTGAAATGCCACCCCCCAATGTGGAAATCGCTAGTAGTCGGGACTCGGTTGATGACGGTGCCAGAGTGAAGGCGCAAGACCTCGGCGTAAATAGATTGCAGGAGGGGCTGGCAGCAGAGATTGGAAATGTCGACGACTGTCCGGCTTGGGTCCGACGGGTCCCAGCATACGAAGGGAGCGATCTCTTCACGAACTCTCAGTAAAAGGTCGGGACGTTGGAGGACCTCCAGTAGCATCCAGCCAATCGCAGGAACAGTATTTGCGGTGGTCCTGTTTGTATATCAGCCAAAGTTCTCGAGTAAGACTGAGCGGAAGAAGGATAGGATGCATACGCCCACACTAATCCAAGATCATCCGCGGCGACGGTCTCCTTGCTCAACGGCATCTTCTGGAAGAATTCATGTCTTGTCCTCATCAACCTGGATCCGAAAAATTCCTCCCATTCTCTCTTGTCCAGTTGGCCCTGGCGCACATCGTAATGCTCGTGGGCAAAGGACTGCCACTTTTCTAGATGCTCCTTCATCTTATCCCTAGCCGCATACGATGCTGGTGCCAACCACCGTGGAATTTCCTTGAACAAATTTGGGAGGGCACTATCGAATGCCCAGAAATCATCATCGAAGTTCGGGATAGTTTCGAAAACATGTAATCCGCAGAGTGATACAACGGACGCTCTGAAGGCGACATTGCGAATCAAAGAGCCGTACAGATCAGATACCTCAACCCACGAGTCAGATTGGATGTCCGTTTGATGAATCTGGGAGGACAGATTTCGCACAAGCTGTCTCTCCATCTCCTCAAGGCTGGCTCCGCTCAAGCCACTGTGGACGGACTTAAAGACCAAATGGAAGATGCGATGCTCTGGGTTCGTCATCTTGCTCCGAGGATCAGGCTGATTGCCAATCCCCGTGTCGTCGGCTAGATAGAAGGGTGCATCAGCAACCTCCACTCCGAAGGCGTTGACCAAGACCTGCACGAGCCAGTGCTCGCTGCTTAAGTTCCTTGAGCTCTTAAAAAGGGTAGTGATGGATTCGGCGCCCTTGAGTAGACTCATACGCCGGTTCAGAAGCTGTATCCGGACTGGGGTGGACGGCCCATATTTAGCTCTGGAAATACAGCTTAGCACACCCATTTCTTCGAACCAGTGTGACGACATCAAACGTACGTAGCCCTCGCTAAGAATTTCATATTGTCCTTTAAGAACTCTGGAAGATGGCCAAGCAGTGGAGTAGCATACGGAAGTTTTGGCGGTCGGCTTCCATGGCGTTGGTAGCGAACCGTAATGGCCCCTTGAAATGCCGAGATCAAGTAGGTCACTGCAATAACACTGATAAAAGTCCCGAATAAAGCAAGGAAGCCATCAGACGTCAATCGCAAGTCTCCAATCCGCTTGCAAATAGCAGGCAGATCAGGGGTGACCATCTTCAGTGAATTAGGCGATGCCAGTTTGGGCAGGGAATGGGCCACTGGGCAAGTTTCGGATTGAAAGAAGACTTGGAGGATAAACCACACTCGGCAAAACAGCTGAAGGAAAACAAAAGCTGGCCGCAAGCTGCATCAGAATAGGCAGGGCGAACGTCACGGTCGCCAATTCCAACGTTCGACCTCACCCAGATCAGCCGTGAGAATCGAAGGGGAGGCGGTGAAAGAAACAATCGTCCCCTGAAGTCGAACCCTCAGTTAGGGGACGATTACCGCTAAACTCAAATTGAGTTTCCAGCTGAGACAGCAGTTGCTTCTTCGTCGACTGCCATCCTCTGCCTGTTGATCTTCCCTCATCGCTATCGACCATCGAATTCAGGCCTCCTCACCAACCAACCCCTGTGCAGATTTCCGTGTTTAACCTGGAGATTTGTATCCTTTGCCTTCTGTTAGTTTCATCCGTGTGTTTAGCGGAGAAAATCGGTTGCTTTTCTACTGGCCGCGATTTCCCCAAAATCGGGACCGGCCAAACTAACCGTAACAGGGAATTCACAGGCCCTCATTTTAACACGTAACAGGGAATTCACAGGTCCTCATTTTAACAATACAGCACTCGCTCCGTCTTACAGTCCTTACAATAATCCTGAATTCAGGCATAATTGCATCGACTCCATCCCCGAAATGGTGGGCCGGAAGATCATCTCTACTACAGTTGTACGTCCACAGCAGTAGGCTTTGAAGCTCATAGCTTTTTGCCAGTCATGTCGACTATAATCGCCAAGCGTAAGCGCGCGAGAAAGGCGTGCATCCCATGCCATCAGCGCAAGCGAAAATGTGACACCGTGTATCCTTGTGGCATGTGCACCACTTATGGATACAACTGCAGGTACGCAGACGACGACATCACTGAAACCACGGGCGGTGGGGGATTTATTCCGCCCTCAGCCAAGCGCGTCAGCCTCGACGGTGAAAGTCGTTTGACGAGCCGGGACCCCACAGCGTGCAATTCAGGCAGCCGGTCTCACATGGAGCGAGACTCCCGCGAAGCCGACGGCTCGTCGACGAAGAGTCCTACCGTCGTGGGCGGCGCCTTCCCGGGCATCTTCGACGAGCAAAAGTTCAGACACTCTGGGGCATCGGCGGCCATGGCATTCCCACACATCCTGGGTGTATCTCTTGGCTCCGACAGTCCTCCCAAAATGCGGTCCTTTGCCTACAACTTTGGCATTCGGCCCGAGGAGGCATCCAACGCTCACTGCTTTCTGGGGAGCCTAATATCGGAGAAAGACCTCAGCTTCTTCTCAGGAGTGTACTTCTCAATATTGGGCCCCATCGGCGACGTGATGGACCCGAGAATCTATGCCCAGCGATGTCGGGATTATTATCATAGTTCCGGTAGCAGCGGGGTCGCCTTTGCCGCCGTGGCCGCTGGTGTGGCCGCTCTCGGGTCGTTCCTATCCCCCAATAGACACCCGCGGGAGACTGACCTAGTGCAGTACGCCAAAGCCATTCTCGATGATCCGGCCTCTATGCGATTGCATGGTATCGATCATATCGTCGCGTGGGGCATGCGAGTGTTTTACTTACGGGCCACAACCCGCCCTAGCAATGCCTGGATCGCTTCGTGCACCCAAATGCACCTCTGTGAAGCGATAGGGCTGCACGAAGAAGAGAACATCAAGAAGATGGCGTCCATCGCCGGCGCCGCGGTCCTTGGACATGATGAGGACCGACTGAGGAGGATATTTTGGATTTCGTGGGCTGGGCATAACATGCTGTCCTATGAGTACGATCGTTCGCCTGTAATCTTTCGGGCCGTGACTTGCCAGTCTATAATCCCGGTATCAGGGTCCGTTGCCGACCAATTTGTTCAGTTAATCCAGATCATCCCATCGCCCAACTCTCCGTTCCGGCTCGAACGGCAGCCTCCAACTCCGACTGAGGAGCTATTTGAGCATCTCAAGGTATTGGGTGGCATCCAAACCACGCATCCGTTCCTAGTGGTGACCAAGGCAGACATTGCATTCTGCTTCTATCGTCGCCTTTACCAGCTCAAGATCCGCATACCGGATGAGGTCATCAAGCTCATCATTGATAGCGGCAACGCCGCAGTGGAGGCAGCCGAGCAGCAAGCTAGCCAGGGCCGTCTGTTTTGGAACCTCATCGGCAGTGTCTTCCAGTATGCCTGCATCCTATTGGCCATTGACACGCCGGTCGCCTCTGTCCACATTGGCGCTGCCTTCAAGGGCCTGGAGAACCTTGTAAAGGCTGCCGATACAGGGCTGACGCGCGAGGCGTTGTCGATGGCGCGGCATCTACTCAGTCTTAATATGGCGAAGAAGCGAAAAGAACTTGCTCAGATGGAAGCTGTCGAGGCGAACTATCAATTTTTTCCGCCCCAGCCGGCATCCGAAACCCACACTGCTGTACCAGATATGGACTGGGTGGTGGACTGGGACCAGTTTTTTATCGAGCCATATTTATCGATGCTCGGTCCTGAAATTCAGCTATAGTGCCGCAGGGGTCGTTGAATATTCATTGGCCACACGGCGGATATTCAATATGTAAATTATCAAGCCATGTTGTGGTATTCTGGGATGATCTACTGAAGTCCAGCATTGTACTTATGATAAACTATAATACCCGAAAGTGTTCCTCTTGCGTTTGCCTTGTTTCCTGTATTATGTTCTTAGACATCTCGGCAGGTGTTCGCCCGAGTATTGGATAGCAGTCTCATAGACATATAGCGCCTCGCTGCGAGGCGCAATAGAGTATTTGTAAATCTGTCCTCCCAGTTTGGAATTTATTTTCCCCCTATTATTACAATTCCGGAAATTGCAGATGTGGTCGGAGGTCTATCAGTCCGTGGGTCCGTACCTGAATCATTAAATTACTGCCATGCGTTTGGTGCGGCTTTACGTGCGGCTTTACGTGCGGCTACTGCGGACTTGGTCACCTACCGCCGCACCAGAGCCCCATCAAACGGTGTTACTGGATCACTGCGGGCGGCTGCTGCGGCGGATATGGAGAGAAATTCAGAGACTTAGAGAGCGCCCCAGACTCGAGAATGTATAAATAGACTGACATTCTCTGCTCCAGAGAAAATTAGCCAGATAATCACCACTCGCTCACAAGTTTGAACACCTCAACCGCCTCATTCGAACATAATAGCAACAATTGATACGTTCCCAATAATCAACCGAACCATAATGCCCAAGTACGCCAAAGACCAGTCCGTCGGTTTCAAAAACGCCATTGAAAGAGTCGCCATTGTCGGCGTAAGAAAACCCATCAGCCACCATCATGTATACAGCAACGCTAACAAATACACTTAGGCTGGGGGCACAGTTGGATCGCACATTGTCAACGCCCTTCTAAAGACCGGAAGACACACAGTCACGGCCCTTTCCCGCAAAGACAGCAGTAACAAACTGCCCGAGGGCGTCCTTGTCGCCCCAGTCGACTACGATGACGAGTCCACCATTGTTGCCGCCCTCAAGGGCCAGCAATTTTTTATCATAACCATGGCCCCTACTGCTCCACGGGACACCCACAGCAAGCTCGTCCAGGCGGCCGCCAAATCTGGTGTTCCCTACATTATGCCGAACGGGTACGGCGCCGACATTGACAACATTAAACTCGGCGAGGACACGCTGCTGGGCCCCGTGGCCAAGGCCAACAGGGACGAGATTGAGGGGCTCAACATGCAGTGGATCACAGTGTGCTGTGGGTTCTGGTACGATTACAGCTTGGCGGGCGGGGATGCGCGCTTTGGGTTCGACTTTGACAAGCGTTCCATGACAATTTACGACGATGGCAACACCAAGATCTCTACCTCAACGTTATCGCAGGTTGGGCGCGCTGTGGCCAAGGTACTGAGCCTGAATGAGCTGCCTGAGGACGAAAACGATAAGGGCCTGACTCTGTCGACGTTCCTCAACAAGGGCGTGTACATTAAGAGCTTTGTAGTCGGCCAAAACGACATGTTTGAGAGCGTCAAGCGCGTCACTGGTACTACTGACGCCGACTGGACGATAACTCATGAGGATACCAAGAAGCGATATGAGGATGGCCTGGCGCAAGTTAAAGTGGGTAACATGGCTGGCTTTAGCAAGATGCTGTACGCAAGGGCGTTTTATCGGGATGATTCCAATGATCTCACGGAGAAGGCACAGAATGATCTTCTTGGATTACCGGATGAGAACCTGGATGAGTCTACCAAGGTTGGGATAGATTTGGTCAAGGAGCTGCAGCTTCGTGTTGAGCGTATGGCTTCCTAGAAAACGGCATCTACATGTACGGAGTTTGAATGAATTAATAGCTGGATATAAACACGGTATTGCTTCGACGAGAAGTCTCTATTATTTCTATGCCCCTGACTTTAGTTCGTATCCAGTTCTATCTGAGAGAAGCTATGTAATCGAACGTCTGACCTACTCTTGGCAACTTTTTGAGAGACGCTGTCGTATTTAATTCACACTCCGCTTCGTTATCCTGCTTGACTAGAACTATAGATCAAGTCAAACTGCATATAAGACGTCAACTAGTGAGGAAAAGCTTCACGGGCTCTCCCCACACTGCAGCCCGTTTATAGAAGTGGAGATCTGGCGCATTCCCTTCTCTCAACCCATCAATTGCTTCCGCGAGAGCCTTGCCAAGGCCTTCTTCTTTGATCTCTGGCAGTGTATATGTTAAGGTTTTAACTGAGAAGAGAAGCGCACGACTCCGCGGTAGCCGGTGCAGGACCTGTCTTTCGCAACGGAGACGAGTCTAATAAACGTCTTGTTAGCCGTGAACCGCCAACTGCAACAAATGTCCTGGGAGTTCTCACGCTGCTGATATCGATCTCCTCCTGATGAATCTTTTCGCCTTCGTAAAGGTGGTTACCACTGGGAGTGAAAAGCTCGTCTGTAGTTGTAATGGCCCACTAAAAGCCAGTCAGTCATATTCCATGTCAGAATATATAATCAGGACACTGCCCACATTGGCTCGCTTGACAAACTTTCCAGTTGGCAACCTTGCGAAATACCGATCCATGCTTTTTTCCAGCTTTTTTTTGTAATGCGGAACAGGCTTGTGGATGTCCCTCAATTTGAGATTCAACTTTTGAAATGTGTTGAATCCGTTTGGAAAGCATGTCACAAATCCCTTCAAGGTGTACCCATCTCCGTCAGCTGAGGGTAACAAGAATAGAAAGTCATCGTCGACGAGCCCTCCCATTCGTTCAAGGGTTTCTAGCGGCTTCTCGGCAGGAGACAGGGGGATTTTCTCGTCTGTCACCAAGCTGTGTAGGAAGTCTTCCTTGTTACCTGTGTGCTCCAATACAAACATCCTGGGAAACCGTGTAGGAAGAAAAGATCCCAGAAGCCAGGAGTAGAACTCATCGACAGCTGACTTGACACTGTCTTCAGCAGCCAGGACAGTGTCGGTATGCTCGTTCATGATCTTTCTTCGCAGGTAAATTCGATCCACGTAATTCTTGTCCATTTCAATAAGATCATTAACAGTAGTTTCCTCGATGCCTAATAATTCTGAGCTGTTGTCTTGTAAGTTCGGGCAAAGAGCGTACTCATCGTAAGGTTGTATTTAGGCTTAAATGGCCTTATCTTCATAGGCTCTTTTTGTTGCCACTCAAAGTCGGGAAGAGGTTCGACTGGGGGGTAGGCTTTCGGTTCAGTATTGACGTTCGAACCCTTGGGTGAAACGCGAGGCGACGATTTGTGACCTTTGAGCAGCGTGACCATCCAGTAGAGAAGAATCGAGACAAGACTCAGCCAAAGCAACATGGCCCATCCTGACCACTGCGTGATGGTAATTGGATCCATGGGCTCTTTTTCGAACGCTCGAATCCTGAAGTGGTGGTTTATTGGTACTGCTGAAACCAATATGTCTGTGGGACCTTCCCAGCTTTTCCCAACAGTGGTCCTGACTGCGGTATTTCAAAGTTGTGGCAGTCCGCAGAGCAAAGACGTGATATAGTTGCTTATGGCCTATTATTAGGCTTATCAGTTAGCGCTTTACATCTATGGGAGGGCGAGACTGTCCGCTCCCAATGACATCGCGGGGATAATGACTCATTCAATACACCCAGTGGAGTAGGACACCTTGGATACTCATCTGACCTGCCCGTTCGGCTATCAGTTGCTATCAGTTCACAGTCGTGGGTAACTGAAATTAGGAATGCCGAGGTTACCCCGCCTACGCCTATCTATGGGGGTGCTCATTTAACCTACCCGTTTTGGCAAGTAGGTTTCGGCCTAACTTTCCCTTTAGCTACTATACAATATGAATTTAAAGTTTGTGGAAAGCCAATTACCATATCCTCAGTAGTCGAACTACATGTATATTCAATCAAATCCTTTTTCCTGATTACCCCGGACCTTCTATCCCTGAAAGTAGTAGTCAGGTGTGCGGGGTTAAACCTAGTTCCTGTCCAACATCGTATATGATTCTTTCCGTCGCTTAGCGCTCCCCTTTTGAAATATTCTCAATCTGCGATAGCCTGTATTAAAAGCTTAGGATATGCCGTCAAATATATTTCATAAGGCTTCACATCTTCTCCAAATTCATTACGATCTACGTCCTTTCTTATGATCATCAAATATATCTATCTATCTCGGTGGCAATAATGTCAAGTGAATTGTCTAATAATGGGGATGGAATTGAGAGTAAAGGTTTGAGCCTTGAATGGATAATTATTTGGGCTCCAGCTGATCAGTCTCGTCAGGCAAGCAAGTGCTAGAAGCTGTCCGTTACCAAACGGGCCATAGCTCAGCTGACTGTACTAATATGGAATAAATAATTATAGGCGAGAGCCAAGGGCGAGGAATAACGAAAGCAGCTGATCTAGAACTCCTCGGGCTCGCCCAGTTGACAGAGCGAAACCTCGGAACGTTCCAGATCATATGCAGCGGATGGAATATTTGCAACAGCTGGGCGGGCATTGCCGGTACACTCGCTATTGGTATCACCCAGGGAGGCACCGTTCTTTTATTATATGGTAATGTTATTACTTTGATCGGAGCTGGATGTGGTGGAGCCACCCTGGCCGAGCTCGCGAGTGTCTATCCCACAGCAGGAGGCCAATACCATTGGACTTCTATCTTGAGCCCGAAGAAATGTAGCCGTATTCTGGTAAGGGAGTCTCAATCAGTCCAACTGTCCCTTTGACTAATACTATATCTCAGAGCTATTGTTGCGGTGCCATCAATATCTTCAGCTGGATTTCAATCAGTGCTGGTGTAACGATTCTTCCGGCACAGTTCTTCATCTCCATGGCGATCTATAACAATTCGGGATACGAACCTCAAACATGGCACTATTTTCTTATATTTCAGGCGACGAACATTATTATCATGCTGTACAATATCTTCGCCCTTCGGAGAACTACTTGGGTCCATGATCTTGGCTGTGAGTTTCGCCAAAAATGAAAGTCCGATACTAAACTAACTGTATAAGTTGCCGTATCAGTATCCTCCTTCGTGGTCATCTTCATCACCTGTCTGTCTCGTTCATCACTTCAGCAATCTTCCGAATTTGTATGGACAACATTGATCAATGAGTCTGGTTGGTCGTCAAATGGAGTCGCTTTTCTAACTGGACTGATCAACCCCAACTATATCTTCTGTGGAATCGACGGTGCTATCCACCTGGCAGAGGAATGTAGCAATTCTATCACGGCTGTTCCATACGCACTGATGAGTACACTTGCAATTGGATTTGTGACAGCATTTGCTTTTCTTGTTGCCATGTTGTACAGCATGACCATCATTGGCACTGTCATAAACACAGCTACTGGGTGATCAAGCCGCCTTCGATACTATTCATCCGCGAAGCTAATATTCGAATAATAGTGTACCCATCTATGAAATCTGGATCCAGGCCACCCACTCCGGAGCAGCAGCAACGGTCTTCATCTTCTTGCTGGCGCTGATAGGTTTCTTTTCACTCAATGGGTGTCAGCAGACTGCATCTCGCCTGACCTGGGCATTTGCTCGCGATGATGCTTTGATCCTGTCCAAATATTTTAGTCGCATTCATTCACGACTTCAGGTTCCGGTCTATTGCCTTGTTGCGAACGCAGCCGTCATTTTTGTCATCGGATGCATTTACCTTGCCTCATCAACTGCTTTCAACGCTTTAATTGGCACGGGTCTTATCTTGCAACAGGTCTCTTTCGCGTTCCCTGCTGCATTGCTACTTTATCGCCGTCGCTCATCCGTTTATCTTCCGCCAAATCGATTCTTCAACCTTGGAGCGTTTGGCTGGATGGCGAATGTCATGACCGTAGCATTCGGAGCTACTACTTTGTTCTTCTACAATTTTCCAGCCGAAATGCCAGTAAAGGGTAGCAATATGAGTAAGATCATTATATTTGGATAGTTGGCCCCAAGTATTTGAAGCTGACTTCCTCTTCAGATTATTCCTCTGTGGTCATAGGCACAATGGCTCTTTTCTCTCTCGTCAACTGGTTTCTTCATGCTAATAGGAAATATCAAGGGCCAAGACTCCCTGCAGAATTCACGTAAATTGAGTTATGTTCCTCCTCCAGATGTCAAGCACAGAGTTCTCGAAAAGGGCCCCGGTTTGTGTCTTGTTGAGGATAGCGATATACAGAAGGACCTCTGAAGGGAAATTGTCATTCCTCCGGTCCTTACCAGTGACCTTATACTAGCGCCAGAAAACCCAAACTGTGGAAAACTGTTACACTAGAAACCTGAGGTCTCAATTTAAATGCACTTCTGAATTTGTAGATGTCAGAAAGGTGAGAGTTTCGCAGCGGAACAAAGAAATAACTTTCAGGGCTCCGTAACCGCCTCTGACCCTCCCTAGCTGAAATTCCCGGCTTGTACAAGGAATGTGAAGCATCGCCATGTCTAACTATATTTTGCTTCGATTAATCGCATTTCGAATTCCAAATCCTCAGAAAAATATAGGTTGGCTCGGGAATCTCCGACAAGACACTCCCATCGAGGCCTCACAGGCTTATTGACAACTCTATTCAGTCGTGCTCGGGGCAAGACCAAACGGTGATTGGCGGAGATAGTCCGAGTCCCTTATTGATATCTCGATCCGGCCATTGCCAATCCCCGACCAATACGAAACCTTCTCTTTGTTCTGTGACGCTTCTAAACAAATAGCCATGCCTCGCAAAGCCAACTCGCAGTGGCCCTTCTGTCTTTTTCTTCCTTCCAGCACTCAACATACCAGTGACCCTCCACCCTCCCTCAAGCCAAACAACCATCTCACTTTTGCTTTCGATGCCATCGCCGATGATATCTTCACCAATGGATAAGGTTTTTGCAACACGCAGCTATCGGCCCGTCCCTAAGACAGATGCAGACAGCGATGTTGACGACAGCAACGCAACCCTGACACGCCGTCCTCGCCGTCGTTCCGTGCAGCAGTTCCTCAAACGCAATTTGGCCGCGATCACCATCACCGGACTTCTTCTGATCATCTTTATGCTCGTTATTGCCATTATTGCCGAGCCCTTCCGCCAAATTCTCGTCCTGAAAGGGTCCGCTGGTCCCGTAGGCCAAATTGGCCAACGCCAGTGTCTGCCCGCCACACCACGGACCCTGCTCTCCTGTGGCAATTCAACCGCCGAGGCAGAGGCTCTGGGCTGCACATACGACCCGTTGTCGGCATGCTGGTTGCACCGCGACTGTCCACACGATTACTCAGATGTCTTTTCGCATTTTAACAACGGCAAGCCGTTTATTTACTACTACGACGAGGCGGCCACACGCCAGATGAAAGACTATAATGAGGTCGGACACAACGCGAACGGCTTCTACTGGACTTCTGTACGCGAGCACCTCGTGCATTGTCTGTATCTACTGAGACGGGGTCATGATGTCCACATGCGTGGCGATCGCCTCGACTCAATGCTCGCGGATATCGACCATGTGGATCACTGTACTAATTTCCTGGCCAATTGGTTGCGCAGACCGGATCCGGCTCTCGAGCATCTGGGTACACAGGGCAAAACGGACTGTTTCATGTCCTGCAGCTGAAGGGTGGACTACTCTGGGTAGTAGATAGGAAGGTCAACGGAGACAAAGAGGCAAAAAGAATCTGGCTGAGGCTTTTTTGGGAGACTATCCGTTCATCATAATATCCACTAAAGGTGGTTATTTCATTTTACATGTACTTTTCGCAAGGACCCCGTCCACAATCCACCTGGTTGCCGAGATCTAGATCGACACCATCGAGAATGCCTTGCCTATTCAGGAAATTGTCTCCGCGGAAGACCGCCTGAATTCGGCTCGACCAAAAACGAGCAACTTGACATGGCTCGAAGACTAAACCACAAAAAACCCGTATTTCTTTCATCCTCCACTTCTACAACATCCAAAATGCCTCCCAAGCGCATCGCCATCGTGACCAGCAGCACGCGCAGCCCGCGCCTCAATCCGACCATCACGCACTATGTGTATGACGTCTTGTCCGCGGATCCGATGATCCCAACCTCTCCAGCTACACGTGAAGGAGGGGAGGGCAGCATCGACACAGACCCTAGGCATATCACCCTCGAGATCCTCGATCTAGCAGACCAAGGACTGCCACTCTACGACGAAAACATCATTCCCGCTAGCCTACCAGCGGCGGATCCCACGCCGCACTATGAAAAGGAACACACTCGCGCGTGGTCTACTGTCGTGCGCCAGTATGATGGGTTTATTTTCGTGACGCCCCAATACAACTGGAGCATTCCAGCCAGTCTGAAGAATGCACTAGACTATCTTTTTCATGAGTGGAAGGGGAAACCTGCGGCGATTGTCTCGTACGGAGGCCATGGTGGTGGGAAGGCGGCGGATCATTTGAAGGGTATTTTGACTGGCCTACGCATGAGAGTTGTCGGCACGGTCCCGGCGTTGCCGGTGAAATATACGGGGTTGCCAGTTGGGGGGTCTGAGGAGGAGAGGGTTACGCTGGATGAGAGAGATGTGGCCGGGTGGAAGGAGGCGGGCTTCGAAGCGATGATGCGGAATCTAGGGATGGAGCTGGTGTGCGAATTGGATAAGGAGTAATAAATATCAGCGCATTCAAATTTTGGTATCTATCGAGCAAAATCCTCTGGTATATGTATATGCAAGGATACAACAAAGTAATCAACCAGTAAAGAAAACATTATTTTTAGTCCGCCATTAGAATATCCTCCCGTGTGATTCCACTGCGATCGCACATTGCTCGGAAGATACCATCCGTCCGATCCCACAAAGCAACCGGTGTGTCCATCTCGGCGATCTGGCCCTGGTCCATGACACAGATACGGTCGTAGTGAATGATCGTGCGCAGGCGGTGCGCAATGCATAGCAGCGTCTTGCCGTGGAATCCCTGCGCCATCGTGCGCTGGATCTTCTGGTCGGTCTCGAAGTCAACAGAGGAAGTTGCCTCGTCGCAGACGATAATCCGAGCCTGTCGGACCAGTGCCCGTGCGAGCGCCATCAGCTGCCGCTGACCCAGGGAAAAGTTGAGCCCTTCCTCGTCAACGGGGCTCTCAAGCGTGAGCTTGGTATGCTGCTGTGGTTTTGAGTCGCTGCCCGTGACTGGAGTTGCGGTGCCACTGGCAGGGACGCTCGGCAGTCCCTCTGCGACAGGCTCTACCGAATCCTGACCGACCAGGTAAGCCTGGCGCAGCGCAGTCCACAGTTCCAAGTCCTCGTGCTCATTAAATGGGTCCAGGTTCGAGCGAATTGTGCCGCGGAACAGCGCCGGGTCCTGAGGAATGATGGCCAGCCGAGAACGGAGGTCATTGAGACCAACGGTAGCAATATTGATCCCATCGATCTTGATGGTACCTCCGGACAGCTCCGTCAGACGGAACAGCGCAGACATGATACTCGACTTGCCGGCACCCGTTCGTCCCACAATTCCGATACGCTCGCCACCCTGCACATCCATGGTGAGCCCCTTAAGGACAAGCGGGAGGCCCGCGCGGTACCGCATATGTGCGTTGTCAAATGTAATGCGGCCCTTCTCAGGCCAACTAGCGGCAACGGGGGCGAGTTGCAAAGGTGCCTCCTCTTCCAACTGGGTTCCATAGTAATGAACGCGCTCGGTAGCGTTCATGTTGTTCTCTACCTCGGCAAGCTGGCGGACAGTGAATTGCAGCATCTGCGCAATGGAAAGAATGTACGAGAGCACGAGTCCAGAGATGCTGGGTGAGACATCAAATCGAGAGGTGACGACCAGAACACCCGTCACAAAGACGAGTGAGGTTGCCACGGCATCCAGTCGCACGCTAAGCCAGCGCTGGTTGGAAAATGTCAGGAAATACGCTCCGTTCATCACGTCGATCGAATCACGGATACTGCGCCGGAACTGGTGCTCCACCCCATAAGCTCGAATGCAGGCGGTACCAGTGATGGCTTCACCGAATCGAGCATAGACCATCGACCGCAGAACTGCCTCGTGTCGCTTCATCTCGCGGGCAGAGGCTCGGTAGTAGTTGGAGGCCAGAAGGAATAGGATAAACAGTGGAGCGAGAGCAATGACAAACTAGAGAAGGTCAGCGATTCGCCCCAGAAAGCACAGCATGAGTCACTTACGTAGTGGAAGAAGACAATGATCAGAACCATGACGGAAATGATCATGGTCATCGTCAATGCGTAGATACGCATAGCATCCGAAAGTTCATTGTCCATCACCTGGATATCCTTCGAGAAGCGGTTGGTGATCCGTCCGAGCGGCGTGGTATCGAAGAATGACATAGGCGCTCGGAGCACACGGGTCATTGCGCGCTGCAGCATGGTTCTGCTGGAGTTTGTTCCGCATGTGGTCATATAGGTCGAGAAGACGAACATGAGGACAACAACACTGCCTCCCAGGCCGGCATAGATGCCAATGTATTGGCCCATCGACAGGCTCGGGTACTTGTCGGACGTCCAGTAGGAGAGCCACAGACTGGTCCAAATGTTGGCGACGTTGGCCAACGCCAGTAGGAAGATCACCACGATAGCATTGAAAGAGCTTCCAGAGGCTTTGATGTATGCCTTCCACACATCCCACCCAACCGAAGCTGTGGCCTTTTCTTCTTGTTGCATCAATGCGGCGGCTGGCTTTCCGGGCACTGCTGCCGCCGTCTTCTTCTCATCGGGCTCCCCTTCGGCAGCCTCTTCTGTCTTCTCGCTCGAGTCCTCCTGTCCCGTTGTGGACATGAGCCGCTGGAAAACTTCATCGTCCCGCATCAGATTATCGTAGGTATCAATCGCATGGATGCGACCCTCGTCCATGACAATGATTCGATCACATCGGTTGAGGACATGGAGCTGATGAGTTGCCAGAATCCGACACCGGTCCTTCAGAAGGCCACAAATAGCTTTATCCATGATATGACGCCCGACATGTGCGTCGACCGCTGATAAAGGATCGTC